ATAATGGCATAATGGTCTCTTGTGCCGCGTATACGGTTGATGATCGTGCCGACCCAGCACTGGGTCGTGTTTTTCTCAGTTTTTGCCATCCAGCTTGGAAGACTTACCTACCATGCGCGTGGCGTTATACGATCTATGCCTACTACAATGGCGACGCTGACATTCCGGGACCCGGGATAGAAGGTGCCCGCTGAATGGTCAGAATCTTGGGGTCAAGACGTAGTCTCGTTAAATTTGCATAAATCGCCGAAACTACGCGAGTATCATAACAGATGCTTGTGTGCAAGCGGCTATTCCATACACTATGTTTCATGAAGTCAAATCCAATAACAGACGAGTGTAACCCGTACAAATACACTTTCTACACGTACTTACCTAATTAAAATATACTACTATAAACAATCTGAAAAAAAAAAAAAAAAAATACACATTTAACAGACGAGGAATCATACATGTTATTTTTTCTCGGACAGAAATGCTTATCAGAGCACGAATAACCATCATAACACGGCAATCACCATCTAACAATCAACCACTTTGTACATGATTTCATGCGGCGCGTGTCGAATGGGTTGTACAGAGCAGAACACGGGGGCACTATGAGTTTAAATAATTGCCAATCTATATGTTGATTCGTTCAGCACCTGTGCCTTGCGTGTCTCCTAAAAGTACCGTGACATTATATGGTGGCCCTGCAATTAGCTCGAAAACACCGGATTAAACCATGGCATACGCAGACATATAGTCTAGTTCATATACTTGCATGTAAATAAACGAAATGCATAGCGCGTGGGCGGGGCCAGAATTTCATATGCATGTTATTAGGGAGGGGCGAAAAGCCGTTCTTTTTAATAGCGTATACAATGTTTTCCATCATTCTGAAAGTTTTGTAATGTCATTTTCCCCCTTATATTTTTTTAAAATCTCTTTTGTATTGTGGGATCACATGCCTTGAGCCTATATAAGGATGTCTTAGTAAACGCAGTTTAAATTATGTTAGAACATATTTTTTTTGTAAATGATTGTTAATTTTATCTTACTTTTTAGTTTAATCTTTCGTTTTGCTTGGAATGTTTGTGATGTGTATATTTTTTTACGAAACCATGCATGTGCTTTCCGTGTAGTTCAATTTTAAGCTGTGGCAGGAACTTTTACATGTCACTTGATGGTCTGTCTGTCTGTCCCGAAAATTGACCAAACATATCATGGTGTTCCATATGTGCCATCGGCGTCGCATTTTTCGGCGTCGCATTGTTTCAGCTCTGGCAGGGATCATTTTGATCGATGTCATGCAAGACTTTCATGCAAGACATCTTGCAACACGGCCAGAGCTTAATTGTGCTATGTGCACTCGGCACTTGTTTTATACAGAGCATATCGTTGTGATGCCGCAGTTATCCTGTGCAAATGTAGTTAAATATAAATACATGTAGTAATTTAACAATTTATTATCCTAGTTTAAACGACTCCGTCAAATTCATTGCGAGGATAATGTATTGGTATATACGGTGGCGTGTACTATATTGCCACCGAATGTATAAAATGCGTGGGTTGATTAAGCCGTCGACGCGGTGCTCATTTAAGAGGAATATACATCATTGGCTTTTGCTGTAATTTTCAGAAATGAACTATTTGAGGGGTTAGTATAATAGATCAAATATTGTTTAACTGACATGTTTGAAGTTTTGTGTTCGAAAATGCTTGAAAAACCAAGAAAAACAAAATTATTTAAGTAATCTGGTTCCCTGACTCCACTAAAGATAAAATGGACCAATTTCCAGATGCCGGAAAATTGTAAGGTAAGGGAACAAGTCTAGCTGGCCTATACCCGTTCATGAATATGTAACCAATAGCAAACAAAATTTGAATTGAATAAAATATGGTAAATTTGGAGCAGTAGTTGCAAAATAGTTAGATTTTTCCAACGGTGGTCGGCCGACCATCGCTGGAAACGTATACAAAATACCATTTTCTTGAAAATGACTTCACACCAGGTGCCATAATTTTACAGGATGCTTTAGACTGTCATTTACCAACATCCTAGAAAGGTATTTCGTAAAAACTTGGTAGTTTTATTTTTCGATGTTTGCAAATGTTGTATATTCCGTTTAAATATAAATACATGTAGTAATAATATTTTAACAATTTATTATCCTAGTTTAAACGACTCCGTCAAATTCATTGCGAGGATAATGTATTGGTATATACGGTGGCGTGTACTATATTGCCACTGAATGTATAAAATGCGTGGGTTGATTAAGCCATCGACGTGGTGCTCATTTAAAACCATTAGCCATCGGGTGATGAATGTTTACCAAGTATTTTAGGTACGGGTTATGGTTTCACTTCAACAGGAACGAGCGTCTGCAGTGGCGGATTGAGGATTTCCCCAAAAGGCTGGCTTGTTGAAGTCCACATTTTTAAGGGAGGGGATAGCTGAGGCGTTGCAGTCAGCTCAAATAATGATCAAAAGCACCGTATGTGCAATACTTGAAGAAATTAGGATTTTTTTCCTATTCCGTAAATATATCAAACAAAATAGATTCTGCTAGAATCGAAACGTTAGGCCGTCTAATTTTGTAAAATGTGTATATATTTCAGGTCAATCCAGACAGCAAGCATTTTTTTCAGAAGTTTTATTCATTTTCATTATTATGTTAATAAATAAGATCAGTCGATCGGAGGGGGAGGGGTGGTTGGCCACACCAACCACCCCCTTGGATCCGTCCTCGTTCAGTATGATTATTTTGGCACATATTAAGTGCATACACATCTGACCGATCATGTCGAGTCGGGGAAGTAAAGTTGGAAAGTTTCTGATATAAAAAGCAATACCAATATTGCTACATTATTTTGTCTATATCGACATAAACGTAAGGGCAAGTACAGTTGCGTCTTATATATTTTTGTCCCAAGAAATGACGATTTTTTTTGGGGGGGGGGGGGGAGTTCCACCTGATTGTCTGCCGAACTACAGCCTGTCTCAAAAAAATGGTACAATCAGAAAAAAATTGGTTAAATATGAAATTTCAAAATAAGTCATTCTTACTTGGTATAATATTAAAGAACAAAGACTGGGCTTTCCTATAGTGTTTGTTTGATCTTATTTGCTTTTGTCAATTCAGAGATATAATCAATTGGAGTACTGTGCCATGCTGTCTTGAAGCTCACAAAGATTGCAACTTGGCAAAAGAAACAAACTCGATTTTTGTGTTCCGCAGTAAACTAGAGTTATCTCTGGATTGACAAAAGCAAATGAGATGAAACAAAAAGTATTGGAAAGCCTGGTCTTTTTTCTTTAATGTGATGCTCAAAACGACTTACTTTATATGTTGAGATTTAATATTGAAAAAAAAATCGTTTTCGATTGTACCATTTTTTTTTAGACGGGCTGTAATGCAAGGTTATTTCGGATTAGGGGGAAAATACATGTCATTCTCTCCGGGGAAAAAGGTTTACAATCGGAAATTCCAATCATAATGATGTCCAATTAGGCCTACAAGTAGGGTGTAAGGCCAACATAATATCGTCAATGTGTGCCATAAAGTGGATTTTGAGAACAGCATTTTCTTTATTGGTAAACTGTTTGTCAGCTACAGTGTATATGACATCGATAATTTACACTGTGGTCTTACAAATAGATATCTCATCAGAAAGAATTAATAATAATGTATGATGATTTATTTCAGAAAAAAAATAATGAAAAGTTAATAGCTTTGACAAATTGAACTATACGTGCTTCTATCAGTGAAACGCTGACCGGGTGATTGGAAACATTAAACCGCCTAATTATGTGAGGCGTTCTGGCAAAATGAGACATAACTGATGGGCACAGGCTGTAGTGGAGAATTTGCCCCCTTCACCCCCCCCCCAAAAAAAAATGGGGGTGATTTGTTTTTCTTCGATTTTCAGATTGTTGATTTCGCAATCTTTGATATGTCTGACATAATATTCAAAAAAGAAATAGTATACAAATCGTGGCGTAAAAAAAAGTGTTTTTAAGGAAACACAATTGGCATATTTCATTTTCATGACTATAAAACAATCAAAATTTAAAGGGCTTTTTCTCAATATTTAAGAAAAATTTAATTTAATTTTAGTTTTTTGACAAGTCGACAAATGCGATATTTGAATAGTGAATGGAATGTCTGATTGAAGTGCAACAAACAGTATTGTAAGGAGAATTGTATTCTCTTCCCTAATACCTGCAAACCCTCATTTCGACCTGTGCCCAGTTCTGTCACATTTTGTCAGAACGCCTCACAAATTAGGTTTTTGTCTGAGAGAGACATATTTTTTTTTCTATGAGTTTTGCTGTCCGAACGGAAGGAAACATTTTGTCACCGCTTTCAACTAACAGTGCAGACGAACCACGATTTTCGTGCGCCTGAACACGTTTAGTCCATAGATGTGTAATGCCAGGTTCACGCATTCCCGATTTTTTAAGCCGAATCTCCAAGAATAGCACTTCTTGAGTAAATCTTGGATGGTTTTTGGCTGCCTCGGGATGATACTGTTAATTCTGTCGGTGAAATAATATCGTAAAAGATCGGGAGGCTCCCCGACAAATTAGAACATACACTAGTCTCTTTTTTTTAGAACATGTTCAAAATTAGAACATGTCTGACATAATATTAGAACATGTTCAAAATTGTCGGGCGCTTCGGGAACCAATTTCAATTCTTGGTTTATTTCTGGTTATTCACAGCTAATTCGGGAATGTGTGACCTTAGCATCAGACGTTTCCGGAGTACTAGTTCGGTGAACATCATAGGGCCTGCATGGATGTAAGACGCATACCAATTACCTCTTCAGATTGGTTTAGTCCGGGAAATATGATTATATACACCACGGTGGCGCGCCAAACGAATGCCGAAGCAAAGATGCAACAGTTTATACTTATAGCCCAGGTAAACACAAAGGCTGCATGGTACATTTTTAGCAACACGAACAATGTAGAAATTTATTCGAAATGCTCATGACAAAATCATTATACTCACGCCTTGGCCAGTTAAACAGTAGCGTCATGTCGGGTCTATAATATTCTAAATCCCAAGCTGAGAAACGGCAGAGTTACTACAATGATGATGCCAGATGAATGATGGAGCCGATATTATCTCTAACGCGGCATGCAGGGTGGAACGTTCGCTACGCTGTCTACACTGCGCTACGGTGGTTGGACTACTACTCCCAGGGAGGGGTGGGTAATAAAGTGTGAGCAGAGACTAGTGTATGCATTGTGTGTACGCACCAATCTAGCATAATGGTCGATGGGGAGGAGGCAGCAAAGCGCGGCTCATTGCGATGGTAACGGATCTGCGCCTCGCGCGGTGATGCGTTGCTCTGGAGATTAACCCGGCGGCCGTTTTATGTGTGATTCTTTTCTAAATTGCCTGAATGACTGCAGGTGGTCGTTTTCTATCGCAGTTGTTATTGAGTAAATCACAATCATAATCAAATAACAAGAGTGATCATCGATCAGTAATAGGAATGGTCAGTGACAAAGGAAAACTTTGTCAGCCTAGTCAGCTTTTCAGTACTTTGCCTGGAGAACGTGGATATGGAGAACGTGGATGATGACTGGCCAAACGACTCAACTTCGTTTGGGGTATCATCATACATACATAATAGTTGCTCTTACCTTCCCGAAGATTTAAGTCAGGAGCGGATTTTTTCAAAGAGACTTTTATGGGTTTTTTTATGCATGGTGTAAAAAAATATGTTGCTTTCTTTATGTGTTTATATTTCAGGAGGCAATTGAGTTCGGGAAACAGTCGTTACATCATTAAGGGAGTTCCACTTGCCCGAATGGATAAACGGGGCGTAACGTGAAAGACCTCCCTGACATCCATATTTTCTCTCATCAACTCATGACTTGGTGGACATGAGATTGATGTCTGGGTCATGGGGTCCAGCCTGTATATACTACAAAACAAGGCTTTCGCCGAAAGAGCTACAATCCCGGCCAAAATGGTTGGGACACTTCCTGAGCCTGCTACGGTCAACCACCTACTCCCCCTGCTCCCCCGGTCAATGTTGTTCTCTTCAGCTGATGGAGCACACACCGCGCAATGAGAGAAAACATTGAACGGGGCCGTTGGGGGGGGGGGCAGCGAGATTTGGCCAGGATCATTAGGTCATAAATTGACCTATTATACGGATCTGCTTGCAAAGGAAGCTTGGACTCTAATAACAGTACATCTGAAAAGGTGGTGCTTTGGATTAAAGTGGGGTCAAGGTTGAAATATGAATGGAGTAAAGTATTGATGAAGATCCCCGGCCGTCTTCTTCGTTGAGATGGCGTTGCTCATCCCATTATTAATGGGTTTCTAGAGCTACACTAGCTTTCCGTTTTCGTGGATAAAACTGCTGCTTATCTTTTTGGTTGTACTTTATAAATATCGATCTTTATTTTTATATTTACTTTATAAGTATCGGGTATTTAAACCTTCTCGTTAGTCTTGGTCGTGTGTAGGCCTACTTCCCGTGATATAGCGTTTCCGTTTTGGGTTATTAACCAGAATCCCATCATGTACAGGCATGCAATAATCATGGGCGGCGCGAGGGGGGGGGGGGGGTCGCTTGGGGGGTCTTTACGAAAAAAAAAATGGGGGGGGGGGGGGTAAATACCCCCCTTTCCCCCGCTGGCTACGCCTATGCAAGAAACTGCCCGGCAATTCTGGGAGACTGTCCAAGATCGAGTGATGACCTGCATGTTATGACCGAAACTGTGACGGTTGAGGCCGTGCGATCACGCGGGCGCAAATTGGTCTCGATGGCAACCGACAGAGAGTCGAGACCGACCGACTGTTCAATAATCATTGAAAACTGTTAACAGATTGCGTGTTATATCACCGACGGACAGTGTTCTGGAAATAGGTGGAGTAAGGTAAGATTGTGTGATTCAATGAAACTCAGTCGAAGTGCATAATTTTACCACTTTCTGTAGAGGGCGCTCGCGATGTTTTGCAACTTCCCCAAACCAAGACTGGTGCCTATGATAAAGGCATCAAGGTCCTCCGGAGACCATGAGGGAAGGTTAGATACCACTCTCATTCACACACGTGTTTTGCGCTGCGAAAAGGCTGCATCGATGTAAACAAATGATCTACTTGTGGTCTACAAATTACAATGATAATGAGGGCTGCTCACCGACTAACACGACTTCAGTATTCTCTTAGCTGGTAAGATATATTTTGCTTATGATTTTAATATTTTATAAATTAAGACATTTCATAGTTGGGACATGGAAAAATTGTAAAACTCAAAAGGTTTACTTTAACATTTTATAACAATGTTTAACTTAAGTACCGCACTGACAACTGAGCTGAGCTTGAGCATGCTGAGGATAGTTCATTATTAAACATGTTTACGAACATGACGAATGGAGGAAGTAAGCTATTATTGAAGTTTTGGCATGGATTGGTCGTACTACTAGCCTAGCATGAACAATTAGCCTATGCGATTCAAGCCAAATCTTCAAAAAATGAATTCTCTACTAAAACTAGTAAAAAGTACTAGGCTAGCGCACCAGTTTACTAACTGGGTGGTTATAAGTTATAGGCCATATGGCATGTATGGCATTAGGCCAAGTAAAAAATTAACCCGTTTCTCACTCCTGCACTTTTCCTTTTTTTCTGCCCAACTCGTTTTAATTTTTTTTTTTTAATTCACACCTTTGCAAATATATTTTGCATAATTTGTCTTTTTTTGTCAACAAAGTTGTAGCTAGGCTAGTCCGAGTAACTTGGACCCAACTTATCGCCTTTTTTAACATTTGGACATGGTCTGGCGATAGTGGGGTCCAAGCTAATACCGCGACCTGGACAACACCGTCATTGACCGTCCCAAAACCAACATTTTCCAACAAAAAACATCAGATTTCACCTTCAAACGGCCTCCAAATTACTAGATATGCCACCTGAGGTACAAGTAGACATCGATAATTAAGATGGTTGTACTGAAGTTTACTTATGATCCGGAAAATAAGTGAAATTTTCCGTTCATTTCGGAGAGCTCCCCTCACGATCTTGAACACGTTAAATTTCCGATCGTGTTTAATGTTTGAATGACGCGATTTCTTCTACATGCCCAGCGTACATTCGATGGTCCCCGTATCCCGAGTGCAATTCCGTTACCGAGCGCGCGCGATGCATCGATTATGATAATGAGTAGACTGGATCACGTTTGTAAACACATGTGCATTTCAAACGATAATAGGGAGTCGGGAACTAGCACAGCTTTTATGGCGGATACCAGTTCAAGCTGGTTCCCGATTCCCTTTTACAGTTCGAAATGCACATGTATGTGTTTACAAACGTGACGCATTATCATAATCGATGCATCGCGCGCGCTCGGTAACGGAATTGCACTCGGGATACGGGGACCATCGAATGTACGCTGGGCATGTAGAAGAAATTGCGTTGTTCAAACATTAAACACGATCGGAAATTTAATGTGTTCAAGATTGCGAGGGGAGCTCTCCGAAATGAACGGAAAATTTCACTTATTTTCCGGATCGTAAGTAAACTTTAGTACAACCATCTTAATTATCGATGTCTACTTGTACCTCAGGTGGCATATCTAGTAATTTGGAGGCCGTTTTGAAGGTGAAATCTGATGTTTTTTGTTGGAAAATGTTGGTTTTTGGGACGGTCAATGACGGTGTTGTCCAGGTCGCGGTATTAGCTTGGACCCCACTATCGCCAGACCATGTCCAAATGTTAAAAAAGGCGATAAGTTGGGTCCAAGTTACTCCGACTATAGCTAGGCTATGTAGAAATGGTGACAGCTCCTTTGGACACAATTTTGGGGAAGATTCCCATATCTGGCCATCACTTATTTTTCCCTTAAATGACCTATCAGCCATCAGAAATGTCCTAAAAAGCCCTAAAAAGTTTTACTGAGAAAACATTTAGAAGTTTTCAGACCAGTCCCATAGGGTTTGTGCACAGGGTGAAAAGTGATGGCCAGATATGGGAATCTTTCCCAATTTTGCATCGGCAAAAGAGTAGAGAAAGTGGAAGAATCCATCTGCCATCTTGGAAAACTTACCATTTTTCGGGGGGAAAAATAGGGGCCACCTCCTTAATTTTTAAAACTTTAAAAGCCTAGACAAGAAACTTGTTCTTAACTGGGCCTTCTTAGGCTTCTGGCAGTAGCGCAGGTGATCTTTCCTAAAAGTAGTCCGAGAGCCCGGTGAATGAGGTTTAATCATAATTTATAATCATAATTTATTAATCGTAAGAAAGGTCAAAGGTCACTAAGGGTCAATAAACTCCATTAGTCGTAAAGATGGGTGCAGCCTTTTTAAGTCATGTACATGTATGAATTCCCAGTGTATCACTGCATTTACAGGACATGGATAGGACAACTCTTCATAGTCTTACTCCTACGCCCCCTTCTTAAAACAAGCTCCGCATCCTCGTCACCGCCCCACCCAACCTGCCCGGCCATAAGTGACTCCCATCTCTTCATCTCCAGGTACGCTCAACGCCTCAGTCCTGGTCCTGCAGCCCGGGCACAGTGCTCCACGGACGCCCAGAGCAGAGAAGGCAACCCACTGCTGCGATATGACGAGGGGCTGCCCAGCTTCCGGTCCATCGAGGTCGGCCATGTTGTGCCCGGCATCCACAAGATCGTCGGGGACTTTGAGAAAGGACTGGAGGTTTTGGAGACACAGTACGAAGGTGACTTATCATTTGTGTGTCGCCTAAACAAAGTTTTTGGTGGACACTTACCAGTTAAATTCTGTATGACCTTATGACTGTATCCCCGTACTTACCACAGCTACTTGTGGGGTACTCGCACAAGGGGAAGTTTAGGGAACAATGCTACCCCGCTACTCACCCTCAGAAAAACGGTACCCCAGAAGTGAAATTCTAAAGAAGAGGGATAAAGGGAGAACAATGCAAGTACCCCAGAACTCCCATCTGCTGCTATTCCATCTTTAATGGATAGTTTGGTTGCAATACCCACTTCTATGCCAGATTCAAACCAGCCAGCTTACTCCGGCAAACTCTGTGGAAGATTGGTTAGACGTCTGCACTGCTAAGCAGGAGGTCTTGGGTTTGAGTCCAATTCGAGTGAAATTTTTTTCTCACAATCACTCCGGACTGCACGCAGTATACGGTGTTTATAAACACTTCTTAACAAACACTTATAAATCCATTCTGTTGTTTCAATCTATTCCAATTTTCAGCTCTTGGTGATGACATCTCCTGGTCCAAGGTGTCTGATCCGTTGGAGCGGCTTGAGGCACCGTTTGAGTACGGCTGGGGCGTGGTCAACCACCTGAATGCTGTCAAGAACAGCCAAGAGCTCCGAGAGGCTCACCAACAGGTGCAGCCGCTGGTTGTCAAGGCAACCAGTAAGGTGACACAGAGCAAACCTCTCTACCAGGCTATCAAGGTAAACAAACAAAATAGGAACATTTTATTACTGCCGATACTGTATACTGTATACAGTGAATTGAGAGTACCAATACTTACGATTATCCCCAGCGTCTTTTAATTGGAACTGGACCAATTCCATCAAAATCCATCAATCACTAGTGTGTCTTATACAAAACTGTACATGACATAATGGAATCCACCACTGACGCACTGGTTGACATTCATGGACTTGCTGCACATGGCTTTTATCACAAGAGCAGTACAGGAAGCTAGGCAAAATCAATCGGATACCCCTAGCACTGCGTCAGGCCATTAGGCCCAAGTCCATCATACTCCATCAATATTTAGTCACGCCAGGCCTCCTGGACCAAGTCCCCCAAAATCCACCAAAATGGGGGGATGAATTTTGATGGAGTTGGGGTGGTTAGGGTTAAAAGATTAACCACTGCTCTGTGAGTGATTTTTTTTTTGTGAGTTGGTCAGGATATGTTGATAACCTCCCTACGGAGGGCATAGGAGGATGCAAACCCCACTCAGCAAAACTCTAATTAGAGTGATTTTGGAAGGTGCTCCATTGCTGAAGCCCTTCTCACACCTTACAAATTTTACCAGTTCACCAGATCACTGGTACGTTTTTTTTTCACCGTTGCAGAGACCACAATGTTACCCGGGCATATGCCTAATTACGTTCTATAATTGGTCGCACGGTGATTTTGAATCATGTGACTTCCTTCGTGAATCTGATTGGTTAACATAAATCTTGCGTCTGGTGAAATCAGAATGCTGCCCACACGCCTATCTGGAGACATCAGATCCGGTGAAATCGGATGCGAAAAAACTCAAACATGTTTGCTTTGATCCGGTTGCCCGGTGTACGGTTGGAATGGTCAAAACAATTTTCACCGCTCACCTCGCCGATCTGTACGTCCGATAGCCTGATGATCTGTGAACCGGTAAAAATCGGAAAGGTCTTGGGGGGGGGGGGGGGGCTTTAGAAGAGAAGTAGTTTGAAATTGTTTTTTTGAGTTTGTTTGCTCGCCCCTGAATTATTTTCATGATGAAAACATTTTTTTATAAGTGCTTTGGGGGTGCAAGAACGCTTTTGGATAATTTTGAAGTTTGTTGTCAAAGTTGATTTTTGATGTCTCAGTCTGATAACAAGTATATACTTCACTACTGCAACATGTTAAAAACATGCATATGAGCTCAAGAAAAAATTAGTTTACAATTTTCGTTTGAAAAATTTGGGGAGATCAACTTCACAGTTGTAGTACTTCAGTTAAATCCATATTTTTTTTCTTGATCAAACTTAAACCTAGTACAACACACAAACGTGACTCCATAGTATACATGTACTGCTGTAGTATTGTGACTTGAGTTTTCTCCGCATTGCAGAATTTGAATGGCTCCGATGCTAGCCTGGACACTATCCAGTTAAGGATATTGAAATCGGCAATACGCCAGGCCAGGCTAGGTGGCGTGGAGTTGACTGGTGTGACTAAAGAACGTTTCAATGAGATCAGGCTCAGGCTGGCTACTATAGCAACGAAGTTCAGGTATTTTGGCAATTTCCCACAAATTTTGACAGTTTGCTCATACTTCAGCATTCATTTTTTAGGTATCATGCTTTCAACAGTAAACTTTCTATAAAGAAATTTTGCCAGGAAAGATGTAAATTTTATTATTTGGGCAGTTCCACACTGTCGGACGTACATCTTGGACCATTCAACAGTGTTCATAATAAAATTATCGTCATAAAGTAGATTATGATTCTGATAAAATGTATCAGTCAGTTGCTACAATGATTTAAACAAAAATTTATTCATGCAACTGTTTTTTTGCAGTAGAAATCGGCTCGAAACAACACGGTGTCGGACATACTCAGACAAGTGATTTTTGTGTGTGTAATTTTTCAGTTACAAGTAACTGAACTGTAGAACATTGTTAGAAATAAACAATAAACATAAAAAAAAATGTTTTTAATACAATTTAGATAATAAGATATAAAATGATATGCATGTTTCATTTGTGACATTTGGAATTTTTGAAGGTTTTTTTATTGAGTTACAGGCCCCTTAAAATATATCTTCATAAATATATCCAAATTCATCAGGATTTGAAAATGAGTGTAATATCAGAACAAAGAGCTGAATATGGTCTTTTTATAATTAATGCGCTTGTGGAAATAGATATGTAAAACTGTCTTTAAGACCACCCATATTTCTTATTAAATTGGTGATAGTGAAATCATGGGTGCGCCACAAAGTGACTAATAGGATACTTTCCACACACTTCAATAGAACCCTCTCATAGACAGCCATCTTTGTAGGAAAATTACAACTGCGTATTCAACACCATCAGGTGCATGTGCGCGCAGTGTGCAAAATGTTCTAAACACGCACACATGTTGCTCGATATTTCTTTAAGATACGCCGCAGCCGATGCGTGTCACAAAAATTTGACGCCCAAAATGACGTTGCACGTGACAATCTGTAGGAAGTGACACCATTTGAGAGAGACCTTTTGACCGATCATGCAAAGACTACAAAGGTATGTGCACCCAATATGTAAGTTTGTGGTGCAGCAACTATCAACGATACACCACTTTCTTGAGTGACCGATGAAATTATCTGCCAAGTTTGTTGCGTACTTTCAGCAATAATGTATTGGATGCAACTAAAGCCTTCAGTCTGACTCTGACAGAGAAGAAGGATGTTGATGGACTACCAGTCTCATTGTTACAGCAGATGGCGGCTGGCGCTAACCCAGACAAGTAAGTGACATCTTTACCCTTCAGCTTTCTTCTCCTGCTTTTCAGTCCGTTTGGTGTTTGTTGCATTGTTAGACCCATATTTACTTTTATCTTCAAGTAAACTTGAATCCTTGATCCTGATTGGTCGATCCATGGCAACAAGCCGTGCTACATATAACCATGCCGCACTCCGCGTATTGCGCTTTTCTAAGATGCGCGCGCCATTTCGTACAAAACGCAAGTGTAATAGGATAACCGCATTACCGCTGAAAAGATCGTGTACAGCGTGCGTGTTCCATCTTTACTGTGCGTCAAGCTTGCTTGAAGATAATTCGTGATTACGCTCGCCCTCGTGGAACACGGAACATGTAGTGCGTCTGTGTCCCACATACCACTTGTGAAAAAGACGCACTACATTATTCCGTGTTCCACTCGCGCTCGCGAGATAACTTATATAAGCCTAACTGCACTGCAGACACTGCTCTGAAATCGTCCTGATGCAGAGGTGTTCAGCAAATCTCTCCATTGTTACATCCAGTCTTAAATTTGTTTCTTTATAACTGTTGCGAAGTGGCTATGAGAATTCATAGAGCAGTTCACAACATGGACCAGTTGCAATCTCAGTTGCTTTATCCGAAGTGCTTCAGGGGAAAAAAAGTTGACATCCATTATTTGCAGACATTACCAAACGTTATACACGGTGCATTAGGCAACAAATCTGAGCGCAGTTGTTACCTGATGTTACTTCAACCAAAGGACTACCAACATGCACCACATGTTTAAATCACACTTTAACCCTAACCCCTAGCTCCTCTGGCTAGGATGCAACCTCAATCCTGCAAAATCCTCCAATCGCCACCAAGAAAATATTGGATTCAGCCTCAATCCTCCATATCCCCTCTATATCCGTTATTTTGGAATTTAATCCGTGGAGGGTGACCACTGCCTCAATCCTCCAAAATCCTCTGCCAATTACTGCTATGGTATGAGGCAGTGCGAATTGCGTTAAAAAGCAGTGCGGATGAAATGCGAGAAAAACACAGGGCTGATTTATGCATGGCTGAAAAAAATGCAAGATATGGCTTTCTGGCTTGACGTAATGCATCCTCCACAAAAAAGCAATACATCTTTGCCATTCATCCTCAATCCTCTAAACTCATCCAAAACCGGCAGGAGGATTTTGGAGGATTGAAGAGGGTTAGGGTTAAATCAAGAACGCATGTGACATTGCACATAGCATGGTGCAGCATCAGTCAAAAGTTTCCATTTAGATTAAGTGGAATTATGGGTTAGTGTGTGACTCTTCGAAAATGACATAAAGCATTCTGATCTGTTTGTAACCGATTGTCTCTTCAATTGTTGTGATGCAGACCAGATCCAGAGAATGGCCCGTGGAAGGTGACCCTTGACCTGCCTTGCTTTGAGCCGTTCATGAAGCACAGTACAAACCGTGAGCTGAGAGAGAAGCTGTACAAAGCCTATATCACCAGGGCCTCACATGGGGACAACGACAATACCGACATCATCCAGGAGATCAGAACATTGAGGTAATTAATTCCACTCTCAATTTCTTTGTGTGTAATTTTTCTCCAAGATATGGCCCTGTCCTAGCTAGTTATGATACAAGTGCCAACTGGAGAAAGTTTGGCATTGCGGAGATATTGACTTTTAAAGATTGGGATTTGCTCTCTTCCAACAAAGCACTGTTTACTCATTTATATTGAGGAGGTTGTGACAAAGAAGTTCACAAGCTTTAACCCTAGCCTTCCCAACTCCATCAAAATTCATCCCCCCTTTTGGTGGATTTTAGGGGACTTGGTCCTGCAGGCCTGGTTTCAAATTTTGATAGAGTATGATGGACTTGGGCCTGGAGGCCTGAAGCAGTGCTAGGGTGTGGGATTGATTTTGCCCAGCATCCTGTACTGCTGTTGTCATATAAGCCATGTGTGCTTAATAGTCCATCAATGTCCGCCAATGCTTCAGTGGTGGTTTGCTTTATGTCATGTATTGGAAGCAGAGTGAATGATGGATTTTGACAGACTTGGTCCAGTACTTAGTAAAGACAGTAGGCAGTTAGTGTTGATACTCAAGTGGACAGAAACCAAAAAGCTCCTACTTAATAGTGTGGATGTCACAAAGCACACCCTATTCAACTGAACTCTGATATAGGCATTCCTCTGTCATTGTTCATCCCCTGTTTCTTGTGATCTGACTTTTGATTGAGACAAAGTTCTGCAACTCTCCCCCCCCAAAAAAATCATTGGATTCCTTACAGACAAATTTCGGACAACAACCATGGGCGAGGGGAAACAGTCCACCTCTATGGGCCCTGTGCATCAACAAAAGAGGGCGCGTTTTTTACCACTTTTGAGAGCTTCTTGGACGAAACAAACAGCGTGTGCGTACTGTACTGTACTGGTTCGCGTGCACGACTTCCTGAATGTGCAAAGGTATCATTCACATCATCTTGGCGTGAGTGTCCTCAGAGCGCAAATATGTTCAAATTTAACTTGCGATGGTCTCCCAGACTAATCCCCGCCCCAATAACTTCGGATCATTTGAAATCCGCAGTGGATGGACCGGGAACCAGTCTAGGTCTTCCCCCAACTCTCCTTTTCTGGCAGTCACTTCACATGGGTGTTTCCGTAAAAAAAGTTCCAAAATTGTAATCTCTAACATGGTAAACCTCCAATCATATCTGACACAGGATAGACTTGACTTCAGTTCTTGCATCGATGTTTAACCAGATCTTTGTATTGAAATGGATTCGCAAATTTTGTGAATTTGTTTTTTTGTAAAGGAAAGAGAAGGCTGAGATCCTGGGCTATTCCAACTATGCTGAGATGTCACTGTCTACCAAGATGGCAGCAAACGTTGACAATGTGTGGTCATTGATACACGGACTCAGGGACAAGAGCAAGGAAGCTGCACAAAGGTGCAGTATGTTCCCTTTCTTGTGTACAGGCTCTTGCAACCCACATGCCACTTTTTACACCCCTCACTTCACAGGCAACCAGCGGCGGCGGATCGGTTTTTAAACTGGGGTGGGGGGGGGGGGAACCAAAAAGGGGCACTTGCTTCCATCGTGCTGAACTGTTCGACACGTTTTTTCACCAGACACTTGGCCTCCGTAAACTCAAAGTGTGGGGGGGGGGGGGGGGCATCTTCCAAAATAGGGGGCACTCTTCAAAACCGCCCATTATGCAAACTACGCATTATGTGCCCATTTTCAGGGCGCATTGTAAGGGTTTGGCGCTTGGTTTTCATATTCCTCGTTCATATCAGAACTCTCTATACCATTTTGGGAAATGGGTACTGAAAACAAATTATCCGAAATTTTAGGGCAAGTTTTGTTTTCATCTCCAGGGGGCACATTTAATGTTTGAGTGGGCACATTTATGCCTGCAAGAGGGGCACCTGGGTAAATCTGGGGGGCAAGTGCCCCCCCCCCCCCTCCCCCAGGTTCTGCCTCCCCTGCGGGCAACCTCTTAAAAAATTGTAAAAGTTGTGCATGAAACTGTCCCGAATCATCCAAAGCCACCTCCATGCAGGAATCCAATTGCACATTCTTTGAAAAAAGCAAAGGCCATTAACACTTCTCTTATATGGGTAGCTGATGTTTGGGCTCTAAATCGAAACCGCTGGAGATGATGTGTACATATATTGGCTTGAACATCGTAGCACATTCTAATGAGCCGGTTCGGTATTCCAAATTAGTCTGGTGCACAGCAAGATTCCACGATTTTTTTGGGGGGATAACTGCGGCAGATAAATGCACACAGGGCTGTGGGGGACGTGGTAACCAAATCTGCATTCTGTGCAATGTTCCGTGCAATCGCAAAGAGATTGAACTTTCGTTTGCACTAAAGTATTGACACACAAGACACCTAGAAACACTTCGCTGTCCAAATTTTTTTATACCAAAATGTTATACTTCAGAACAAAATGATCTCTTCAAATTTGCTGGAACCCCGCTATGCTTTTGCACCCATACGATGAAATGTTTATCCCAAAAGAAAAATTGGCAAATCTTGATGTGCACGTGTGCAGTGGAACATCGAACTGGCTTATTCTGGCAGTTGATTCAGTGCCAAAAGAATTAAAAGTAAAAACGGTTTAAATCTACCTTCCCCAATCCTGCAAAATCTGCCAGAATTAATATCCAAGTTCATTTGAAGTCTGAAAAAGCTAGGAAAAGGGTGCTCTTGCATTGTACCGTGATGTTCAATGCGCCATATTCTTGAACGCATGAGGGCGCTGTCAAGGAAATCTAATTTTACATCTGGGGGTCGTTAATAGGCCTAATACAAGTAGTACTTTCGAAAGTAAGCACAAAAAATGAAGAGTACACAAGCTTTTACAATTTATTAAAAACTATCTATACATTTTTCAGAGATACTCACCACACTTTAGTCTTTATGCACTTCGACATTTCACATGACCCTGCTAGCTTCACGCATACACCGTCAAACATAAGTGCGTCCACGTACGTTGCTTCACAACCCCCAGACGTAAAATTAGATTTCCTTGACAGCGCCCTCATGCGTTTAAGAATACGGCGCATTGCTTTTGATTTCATCAAATTGCCACTTGATTAAAGATGTAATGCATTCGTTCAGATATACATGTACTTCTGATGTCTTTCCTGTGTTTTGGGTCACTTGATTTTTATAACGAAAACAGAGCTGATCTTCCCTCGGTCTCGGTTTTGAAACTGTCCCATTGAATTGTCATTGCAGAGATTTAAAACAGCTTCAAGACTTTGCCTCATCTCAGGGATTTGACGGCAAGATCCAACTTTGGGATGCAGCATTTTGGAGTGAAAGACAAAGAGAACACTTATTCAAGTAAGACAAACTCCACATTGACTCAAGTCTCAAAATAATAAACCTTATGCACGAAAATATTAATTTAAAATTTGAGAACCGTTATAAATTTATACAGGGTGAGTGGAAAAAAAGGAAAACTCATATTTCGGGACAATTCTTTTAGTGAAGTTATACACGCAGCACTTTCAAAATCTAGGATATGAAAGCCCAATTCATAAGCTTTCTTTTAGTACAAGAATCACTCAAATCACTCATGTAATTTTAAGTTTTTCAAGGGATTTTAAACACAACACCTGTTTAAAAGTTCTATCAGCGGATCACAAAAAGGTAAGCATTCTTTCAGCAAAACGAAAACAAATCACATAGGGATGTGTGTGAATTTTTTTTGTTTTGCTGAAAGAGCGTACACATTTTCAGTGATCCGTGGACAGAACTTTAAACGGTGGTTGTGTTTAAAATTCCGTAACTTGAAAAGTACATGAGTGATTTGAATGATTCTTGTACTAAAAGAAAGCTTATGAATTGGGCTTTCATATCCTAGATTTTGAAAGTGCTACATTTAGAACTTCACTAAACCAACAGTCCCGACATTTGGATTTCGCTTTTTTTTTCACTCACTGAAACTGAAACGCACATTACATTTTTCCACTGCTTTACGTTGTTGATTAAGTATGAACCTTGTGGAGCTTCGTTCACGAAATTCAGCACTTAATAATAAAAGTGAATTGTTTTGATTGCTTATTGTTTTCTGTTTGTAACCTATGGAAAACTAAAGTAAGTTATCTTTTTTTTTAGAGTCAGAGGTACTTTCATTATGTCAACGCCTGTCCAAGTGGAGGTTAATTAACTGAAGGATTTTTAAAAATTAGAAACATTTAGAATTTCTATCGGTGTAACATTCATTCTCTACATTATCCCTGACTGTTTAGATTTAATGACGAGGATTTACGGCCCTACTTCCCTTTGCCACACGTCCTGGAAGGAATGTTCAAACTGACCTCGTTCCTCTTCAATGTACAAATCAAGGTATGAATACAGTGGGATCTTCAGAGATAAAAACAATCACCAAATGTTTCAGGAGTGGATATTTTCTTCTGCTTTTCCAACTAATCCAGTGGTTATTACTAAATCAAAGAATGAGTGTGTTTTCAGAGCATATCATGAAAGCTCTTGAGTCTTTTTGCAGTCCTCTTTCTCAGTTTTCAGTTGGACAATTTGATGTCCTGCTTCTTTTGGACTAGTCTCAGAAGTTTGTCTGGCTGGTCTCCAAAAACTATGACAAGAAAGAAAATACCTATAAATTGTGTTCCATAACTGCTAGATGTTTGTTTGCAATTTTATATTTTTCCCATGCTGTTGTCTTGAGGATGTTACGGTTATTCAGTGCACCAGTTATTTTGACGATACAGGTCGAGTCAAAGAAAGCGAAACCCAAATGTCGGGACTATTGTTTTAGTGAAGTTCTTTGAAATCTAGGATATGAAAGCCCAATTCATAAGCTTTCTTTTAGTACAAGAATCATTCAAATCACTCATGTACTTTTCAAGTTACGGAATTTGAAACACAACCACCGTTTGAAAGTTCTGTCCACGGATCACAAAAAAGTGTGTGTTCTTTCAGCAAAATGAAAACAATTCACACATATCCCTATGTGATTTGTTTTCATTTTGCTGAAAGAACACTTGCCTTCTTGTGATCCGTGGACAGAACTTCAAAACGATGGTTGTGTTTAAAATTCCGTAACTTGAAAAGTACCTGAGTGATTTGAATGATTCTTGTACTAAAAAAAAGCCTATGCTTTCGTATCCTAGATTTTGAAAGTGTTACGTGCAGAACTTCACTAAAACAATGGTCCCGACATTTGGGTTTCGCTTTTTTTTAACTCACCCTGTATTGTATGGCTGTAAGAAAAACAAATAGGAGGCATTACGAGAAACATTACCGAGGTTGACATGGTTACATTAATGAGAGGTAAAATATCTTAGTAGTTACATGCCTTACCTACCGAAATATCTTTTATTTTACCATAAAAGCTGCCTATGGTGTTCCTTGCACCGTATTTTGTGGGATTGTTCTTCACAAATTTTCAGTTGTGAGTTTTGCTTGAGCTTAGCCAGTGGCACACCCAGGATTTGGTTGGGGGGGGGGCTAACCATTTTTTTTTTTCAAATTTTTTAGAAGTAAAAATTTTTTCAAAAAATGTTTCCCAAAATTTGTGGCAGCCAAAAAAAATTGGTTTTTTTTGGTGGGGACGGACTATTTTGACGGTGGTGGCACCACTTACACACTACTATACTACTCGAAAATAGGCCACATACATATCACCAAGGTCCCCCAAGGCCCCCCTTCCCCTTGGGCGCCACTGAGCGAAGCCATTTTTCAACCATGAGAATAACTCCTGGATTGTTTGGTTTTGATCTTCACACAGCCTGCAGATGGCGACGCAGAAACTTGGCATGATGACGTCAGATTTTTCAATGTACACAATGAGACAGGTATCCACATTATAAATTATCAAGTTGAACAAAGATATTGACTGGAGCGGGGTTTGAACCTGGGACTGTCCCGGTTTGCCGTTCCAGTGCTCTACCAACTGAGCTGTCCAGCCCTATGTTACCCATCGTGGTTTATTTGATTACCACACACACACACACTCACACACATAAATTGAGTTAAATAGGAATATTCTGATGGCGAATGTCATTGGTTGAACTAATGCAGGTACAACAAAAAGATAATAAGGCCAAAAAAAAATATATTCGGTCTCTGGTCAGACCAAAGTTCCGGAATTGACGCGGCCACGCGTTTTTTTTTTTTTTTTTTACTTTTTTTTTTTTCTTCTAGCTTGGATTGTACAGACAAGGTGGGTACTATTTTGCTTTTTTGGTGTCCTCATGTACATTGGTGTCCTCCATAATTTGCCTTGGTGCTTTTGATCATTTGCCTTGGTGCAATTTCCCATTCCTTGGTGCTCTTTGGTAAAACAAAATTGAGGAGGTGCGGAAACAGAGGGGTGCTGTTGGAGCTACCGCAGAACATTTTGGAAAAAAAAAAGATTGACGCGCATGATTAAAATCGACGCGCGCGCTGACCAGAGACCGACTTATTTTTTTTTTTGGCCTAAAGTGAATTTTTGTAGTAACATAAATATAGGCCAACGATGATGCATTATGTTTTATGATGTTTTGTTTATGCATTTTACTACAGGTATTACAGTTGAATACGAAAAGCTGGAATAAAACAAATCATGACTGACTGAAAATCCATTTTCCTTCCTTGTAGGAGAACATATAGCTTCCTTCTATCTTGACCCTTACACCCGACCAGCTGAGAAAAGGGGCGGGGCTTGGATGAATGTTTGCTTTGGTGAGTGGTTCTTTGGAGAAGTTGAAAGATTAAAAAAAATAGAGATACTATGTCTGTTTGCAACAGAACATAGGGCTTTTTCGCATGATGCTTATTTATTAGTTACATTTTGTAATTGTGGATTTTGTTTTGTAGTCAATCCGATGAAAGGAAGTGTACAATTTTGGAAGCAGAATAAAATGTTAAATATTAAGTAAATCATAAAAAATCAACCGATGACATCATAGTGACGTCATTTTGGATTTTGCATACTCGTATCATTATCTAGCAATCCACCAAGTTTCATGACAATGCGACATTCCCTTGTATGTGTTTAAAAAAAAATCAAAAAAAAAAAAAATCGCATTTTTGATGACGTCACCATGACTTCACCCATTTTTCAAAATTTTTGTGCATATACTTATTACATAACGAACATAATACAAAAGAAAATTTGAATTTAGCATGTTGCGTTCGTGAGATATGGTTTAAAGGTCCAAAAATGCAACAAATCATATAAAATCGCACGATGTCGTCATGATGATGTCAGCTCAATTTTGATCTGTAACACATCTCGGTCTACATAAACACCGAGTTTCAACCCAATCGGACTTACAGTTCTGTAGATATAGGACTTCAAAATATGCACGTTTGCGATGACGTCACGTGACCCATGATGACGTCACGATGACGTCACTCTTCGGGACACAACTTTCCTATATGGACAATGCATATGCTTAATTTGAATGATGCATGAAAAAGATAAATGCCAAAAGTGGCTATGGGATTTTGGGTGGAACAAAAAGAAGAAGTAAAAAAAAATCAGCAAATTTGCGAAAAAGCCAATTAAACCAAGCCCACATGTTCTTGAGTAGCCCTTGTGAGTTGTCCAGACAGTGCCATCAACAGTTTTGCATGGAGCCCATATCACTCATTTTTTCTTAGTCCTCCAAGTAGGATATCAAACACAGTGGGGAAAGAAGCCCAAAGAATGTGGATCGGTGAGACACCTGAGTGTTATAATGAACAAGTTCGGGCGAAAATCATTTGTCAACTAGATGTTGATTTGTGACGTAACTTACACCTGCACACTAATAGCAACGTGCAAACACCACCAGTCAAACGATGGTCAAAATGTCATCACAAAACTTCTAGGTCCTGGCTCCCCGTTGTGCTTTATGATGAACATGGCTATTGGTAACCAGTGATGCAACCATGCTCAGTGGTCCGATTCCAAATAGTCCACTAGAGCAGGCCGACCATCCTTCGTTCTAGTAAAGTTAATAGTTCAATTATGGTGAACTATTGTTCCCAATCTGGCTCATGTGTGATACTGCGATACTGTTTTGAAGTCTGTTCGCAGGTTTTTCTCAATTACAATTAAAAATATTTCTCTGAAGTGAAGTAATTGATTGTGAATCCTTTAGAGAACTGTGGTTCTGATGAAATTATTGGTGAGAGTTTTTTTTACATTTCTGAACATTAAACTGTATGATGGACAACTATCGGTTCTGTAATAATCATTCATAAATACCTAAGACAGTTTACGCATTCCTATTGGTCGAGAGCCCGTCACGTGGCCGGTCTTAAACGGATGATAGAGACATGGCTAGCTGGTCTTAAACACTTTTCCAGGGTCACAATAAAATGTGGACTCCTAAAAATCCAGTGCCTCTTACCGTTTCATTGGTTGAACGTTCACAATCCTCACGTAGGCATGCGCAACACTACCAGGGAGTCAGAATTTTATAGTTCTAAATTCAAAACGCAACTCGCCAGGTGCGTTCTGCGCGACATCGCGCAGAACATGATACGCGCGCGTCAATCTCCATAAAAGGGTTGTTTACATCTTACTCGCCAGCTGAACACTCCATTATTTTGCAAGAGGGATGTTTCAAAAAGCATAAAGTGAATTTGTTGAACAAAATCGGGATGTTTTGAATGAATCATATGATTTTTTTTTACCGAAAAGGTATTTATGAATGGGAATAAATATGTATGAATTAGAGCATTTCTTAAAAAAAAATTCTTAAAAAGTACAGAACAAACAAGCCACATTATCTGAAATGCTGATAAAGATATTGTGATGATCTTCATAAAATTGTGTCAACCTTGTTCCAATATATTTTCTCCCCTGCAAAGCATTGTATCTTAACTAATGTTAAGATATTTTGTGTGTTGCTACCTCACACAGGTAAGAGTGAGCTTCTGAATCGCAAACCCGTCGCCTACCTCGTGTGCAACCAGACTCCACCCCTAAAGGACAAACCATCCCTTATGACGTTCCGGGAAGTGGAAACACTGTTCCATGAGGTAATATGAAAAGTAGTCATAGGGTTTGGCTTTGGGGATGGGGTGGGGGGGGGGGAACAAAACGTAGTTGTCATATTTATATTAACCGAGTGTTCCAGAAAAAACATAACCGAGAAGCATTCAACACACAAAAAAACGTTTGACCAGGTTTAACAGCCAGATGAGCTAAATGCACTGTGCCCAATTTTATGGCACTGCTAAACACAGTTCTAGGCTAATGATCACCGTTCTGCACTTTCAGTAGCCGCACAGAAATTAAGTACTCAACGCTATTGCCACCAAATCCTTGGTAAAAGGGATCTATGAATGTCCAAACCGAAATCCTTGCAAAGATGTGAAATATGCTTTCCATTGAACCAGTGCAAATTTCATTGCATCAGTGTTAAAGAGTCTTTCGTAATGGTAGGCAGATCGACGGCATTGGGCCTTGGATTCGTGGAATAAACTGAAAGTTATTGACCTATCGCGGTAGAATCGCGTCAACACAGCTTGTAAAATATTGTCCAATTACATGATGTACAAATGGCCGCGGAATGTACATGTACAAATGGCCGCGGAACGCGCAAAATCTGAGACAAACAAAACTTAGTGTACAAAAACTCCTTAGGGTTGTCTAAGGGGCGTAGCTAACTCGCAAACGGCGATAGGTCAATTGTGGCACACATGTAAACTGTGCTATTCAAATGCCAGATATTGTCAGTTTTTCAAACAAATTGTCCACAACATCATGACAGTGGCAGATTCTTTGTAGACCATGTTACTAGTGATGTCATGCTGACTGGCAACCGACAGGCATCCTGAACATTAAAGCATCTTTTGCATGTTATCTGGCCCACACTGAAGGGGGCATTACGGCCTGAAATCCCCAACAATATCATGTTTTGGATTGTTAAGTTATCCTATTACAAAGGTCTGGTTGAAAGGAAACAAACCTAATGTCTTAACGTTCCCGAGAAAAGACAACAAAAACCTGGTTGTTTACTTCAGACATGGCGGACATTTTGTGGCATGAGCATACGTATTTCAAGCAGTCTCTATTCAATGTAATGTACACGTGTTTGTGTCACATAATGCACATGGTACCAATACGCAAATGTTGTTTCTTACATGCCCGCAGAATGCGGCAAGATTTACAACTAGCACTCAACAGCTCGATTTTTCAGAGTCAAAATTGTGACCCCCGAAATTCGTTGTTGCACTGTTCTCGCAAGAATAAAGGATGGTTGTGTGGATGTTTATTCCCATATTTAAATACTCTTTCCAATTAATATTATTTCATTTAAAATGTGTTTTGTTCTTTTGTAGCCCAATTGGGCACATTTCAGGCCGTAATGTCTCTTTAACAGTATATATGTCAACACCTTTAAACCATTTATATTTTCAGAGATATATACATGCAGAGAAGAGAACGATTTGCTAAAATTTGCCATCATGTGGCCACAACATCCAATATGTAAACAAATGTAACACGGTCTAAACAGTACTTGTGAAATCATGTCGGTGAAGATCAAATCCCAAATACAAACCTCACGAAGGGTTTATCATTACTGAAAATTTCATTTGTTTCTTCCTTCAGTTTGGTCACGGTCTACAACACATGTTGACCACGGTCCCGTACGCCGGCGCGGCCGGGATCAACAACGTGGAATGGGACGCGGTGGAGTTACCCTCTCAGTTCATGGAGAATTGGATGTATGATGCAGGCACCATGAAGACAGTCAGTGGGCATTACCAGACTGGGGACATGCTGCCGGGCGCACTGTTTGATCAGCTTGTCAAAGGTAACAGCTTAAAAGTTTAGTTTTGGAAATATCCATTTTAATAAGGGAGTAAACGTGTGCTTGGGAGGTGTTAAACATTTTGTTTCAGACTGGTTGGAGTCTGGAATGCTGATAATTACCCGAGCTGAAACCCCATTCATAAATACTTTTTTGGTCAAAAAATCAAAACTTTCATGAGTTGACTTGCATCCTTCTCAGCTTCACCGGTTTCGAGCTTCACCAGTTTGCATCCTTCTCACGCCTCACCGCACCCATCCTTAAAACATCGCATCATCGTTGGAATCCCTTATTCTCCTGACGACGGGCAGAGCATACTGTTCGAAACGTTGAGTCCCTCCGGTTCTTTTCAGAACCACACATACTCACAAAAGAGATTTATTCACATGGTGCTACGCAAACTTATCTTGTCTTAGTATCTTTCCACCATGCAAACCTTCAAATCTAATTTTACTTTATGTTTATCGCAACACCCCTCTAGCTATATAATGGAGTGTCCAGCTCGTGAGTAAGACGTAAGCAACTCCTTTTATGGAGATTGGCTCGGTACGCGATGTCGCGCAGATGTCAGAAATTCCACCTGGCCCCACTAGTTTAGATCTCTACAAAACGTTGGGTGGGGTACAATCCCTTAGCCACTCCGTTAGCTGTATCCAAAACTAAATATTGATATTTCTTTCTGAATTTGTATTTTAGCTCGTAAGTACATGGCCGGCTCTGCCATGCTGCGACAACTGTACTTCTCTGCCATGGATATAGAACTACACACAAGGTGAGATGGCTGTGTTGACTTACATCTTACAGGACTACTTTGTGATAAATGGAAAGTTTATTACCAATCTGAGAATCATGAAATTACATTTTTTTTTCAAACCATGCTGAGGAAAGAATCAGCAAACATTTTTCCTGATACGACAGATGAGACCCAACCATAGAGCTATTACTAGGGCACTAACTCCTCTCACTCTTGCACACGGAGACGCTTTGAAGTCCTCCTGTGCTCAGACATTTTGAATTCATGTGCGTGTTTGTAGAACACAATGAAATTAGATGGATTGAATTTTAAACACACAAGTAGAACATGCGTAAACAACTTAAGCGTGTCATGTCAACTTAAGCGTGTCACAGCAACTTAAGCGTGTCACAGCAAAAACCATCTCCTATGGCTCATGCATGCGCTGTGCTGTTTGCATAGAGCAAAATGAAACGCTCATTTACTGATCGTCCTTTTTGGTTTTTAGCGTATCAACTTTGGTAACGCACCTGCAAAAGCAGATATGCAAATTATTTCCATAGGTTTGTGCACAAATATGGATGCACGCAGCAGATATCAATCAGTAATTTAATATAGCTCTATGGACCAAACCCCATAAAATGAGATGGAAGCTCCAACACCTGTTTTTGAGCAACTGGCCTCTTTACAAATCTTTCCTATGGAAATCAATCAGAAATTCTCAACATTTTTGCTCAAATTCGGCATTTATACTCACATAGTACCTGCGTACATTGAATCAAACTGAGAAAAATATCAAAATGAATGACAAAGTCTGTTTCTACTGCTTTATCAAATATAGTAAATAAAAAAATCCTTATGACCCAGTAGGATCCAGTCACAAACATGATTCCCTTACTTAATTACTGGGCTTCCATCTTAAAATAGACATGTGTCAATCACACCTGATTTTCCCATATTTAATTTTTAGAGAATTGGAAAGTGCATGCCGTATTATTAATCAATGGAGCTATTTATACAGAACTTATCCTGGTGCTGTATTACATGTCGACAGTACATTATTTTAAAAAGGAATTTGAATCAACATGTATTTTTGTGTGTGATTGCAGTACTGATCATTGGATGGATGTTATGAGACGAGTAGCTGATGAATACACAATCATGAAACCACTGCAGGTAAACACTCAATTTCAGGAACCCAATTCCTAAATAATTCATCAGTAAGGGTTACAGTCCTCCAAAGTCTGCTAAGTGAAATGTTGCCTGCTTTTGAATTACTTAGCTATGGCCAGCAGTCTATCCGCTCTGTTCACAAGCACCCCCTCACCGGCAAAGAAGGTACAGTTGGGGGTGACCGACCGACGCCATCTTGCCCGACTGCAATTTTGCCGCGATGCGAAACCGTACCATGTACCACTGCGTGTACATAGTACGAATCCCCTGGTGTACATGCGTCACACACAAGGAACGGTGCGCATCAACCAGCTAAATGTCCCGCCCATGGGACGTCGTTGCTAGGTAAAAGGGAGCCCTCTTTCATTTGCTTGGGTGATTTCGGCGCTAGGCAGGGTGGTTTTGGACGCTGCAGGGACTAAAGAGCAAAATTAGTTGAAAGAGGTTGTGGAATGCCCGAAGACATTTCCGTCATTTTTCGCGTATATGTAGCCTAAGGTGTGATGAAATAAAAACGACTATTGTGTCTGTCATGAAATGAGTACAAAAGGTACTTTTGAGAGCTGTTTTTCAGGTCCTGTTTCGACCCGAACGTGCAGCGTAGTATAAACGAGTCCTGTTTATTACGTCACGATTTACTATGTTTTGTTTGCTGCCCCCAACGACTACTTTTACACAAATTGCACGTTCAGGTCGAAACTGGACCTGAAAAACAGCTCTCATGACAGACACAATAGTCGTTTTTATTTCATCACACCTTAGGCTACATATACCCGAAAAATGACGGAAATGTCTTCGAGCATTCCCCAACCTCTTTAAGTCAGAATGCGTTGTTAAGTTCTTAGGTAAATGATGCCGGAGAACAACTTGTATATTGTGGGACTGGAAAGCTCTGTATATAAATTGCGAGTCACTCAAGGTCCTTACCTTGAGTATGTTTTGTATTATTTTCTGCATGTTCTATTTTCTTTCTGCCTGCAGGAGGATAGGTTCCCGTGCGCTTTCCAGCACATCTTTGCTTCAGGCTATGCTGCTGGGTACTACTCCTACAAATGGGCGGAGGTAAGACACAGAATGTACTGCAGACTCAGTGGATGATCATTATACTTAACGTGTGAATTTGTAAAAGTTAGGGTTGACGTTTCGATCAAAGCAGAAACTTAATCAGGTTTTTAAAAAAAGGATAAAGGGCCTTCTAACTTTCAGAATTTGCCACTTTAATAAAGGACTTCACAACACCTTATTACTTTTCATTCTTATTTCTTTCTTTGAATTTATAACGCAACGCAATGCAGTGATTCCATAGCTGAAATAGTTTTTTTTTTTTATTATTTATAATGAAAACAATATGTTTTTGCTAATTGTAGGTAATGGCAGCGGATGCCTTCAGTGCCTTTGAAGAAGTTGGCCTGGATAACAGGGAGAGTGTAGCCCAAGTTGGAAGAAGGTATTTAATTAACAAAGTTGCTTACACCACAGACACAAAAATCATGAAAATGTATGAAATTTCTACATTTGTGCTCTGCATCTTATAGTTCGTGACCATTTTGTCCCAGTTAAATGAAGCGATTTAAGACACTTTTAAATTCAAAGCAAATTACAGTGCTGAAGTATAACGCTAAAGTGATTTGGAATTGTCAACCATCAGAAGTCTATTTGAAACGACTATGGGTTCCGTGCGCCATCAAAAGAGGGCGCGTTTTTAACACTTTTGAGAGCCACTTGGACGGGACACTGCGTTTGCAAACTGGACTGGTTCGCGCGCGAAGTAAGCACGACTTATTTATCCTGAATGTGCACAAAGCTAAGCCATAGCGTCTTCGTGCGTGAGCGTCAGGCGTCGTCGGCGCGCAAATACGTTTGAATTTAACTTGCGATGGAATCGCAGATTAATCCTCACCCCCAATTTGGATCATTCGAAATACACAGTGGATGGACCAGGAACCAGTCTAGGTCTCCCCAACTCTTCTTTTCTGGCCGTTGAAGGGGTACTTGTGCACGGAGCCCATATCTCGAGTAAAATAACCTCCACCATTTAGTGACCACATCTTTCTCACTATTTAATTTATGTCTAAATACACTTTATTTATAAGCTGAAATACTATATTTTTCCAATGTTTTTACATTTTTCTGATGTTGTGGTGACATGTGTGATCACAATTTTAAAACGTCATCCGTTGCTTCTTTCCCCCTAAGATTTAAGCTTGAAAAAACTGGCCCTTTGGGGACACTATGGGCAAGTGGCCACTTCTGGCTACTTGGTTGCTGCATTTTATAATAAATAAATCTTTTAATTTAGAATTCTTAAAGCCAATTTCTGATGCTATTTCCTGTCCAGATTCCGAGACACCATCTTGGCCCTGGGAGGTGGCACTCATCCACAAGACGTCTTTAAAAAGTTCAGAGGTCGTGACGCCTCACCAGAGCCCCTACTCAAGACGTACGGATTGGTATGAACCCAAAGAAATATAACTATGACTAAAGGTATTGGTTTATTTAATACAAGTAGACGTTACTTATTATTTCCAATTGTGCAATAATAAAGTAAAGTTGGGCGTAAGTCATCTTTCAGATGGCAGCAAGTATAGGTGAGGGAGATGTACATGAGCCATTGAAAACGTGTATTTTGTGCACCAGTTTTCACTGGTTGCAATGAGTAAACCATTCAGTGCTCCAGTCTCAAGAACCATTGAGTTTTAAGTAAATAGGTCTGGGAGCTATATACAAGGCAATATTAGAAGCTCCCGGATGTCTGCGCTCACCTATAGTGCTGATCCCCGTCAACGACAGTCTGATAAATTGAAACTGGATGGGAACTGTACGCAATTTTTTTTCTCTTGATTAACACAGCAGTTTTGTTAAATTTTACTTTAATCCATTAGTCACTGTAGCGCTCGAAACCGTGCCGTGTGTTACTCACTCTTGGGCCGGAAACCGCCTAAGTACTCAATGACGTTATGGATTCTTCAGTGAATAAACACAATGTATTACAATGTACTACAGTTGCTAATGGGATAAACTGATTGATACCTGATCTAATGAATGGCCCCCATCATTTAGTTCGGGTATACAGAGCCTGGAGCCGATTTCACGAAACTTGTCTTATCTTACGACTCATCTTAGGACTTAAGACGAGTCCCCGCTCTTAAGATTGATCTTAGCTAAGACACGTCCTAAGACCGATTTCTCTACACCCATCTTAAGCAAGACGCATCAAAACTACCAATTTGATAGCTGCTTCATGTTTCAACAGTCGTTGAAAAGAAACCTGAAAAACCAACTTCCCGCACGCATATAACACAAACTTTCCCCAGAAAAATTAAAATTCACATGCAAGGTAGTTCTACACAAGATACAATGGAGTCATTCTTGCTCCCATTTCATCACTCTATATTAAAAAGTCGACTACCGGTAGGTGTTGGCATATAATTATATTTTGTAAATAAGCTATTTTTATTAACACTACTCACATATTAAAAATCTTTTCAAATCTGTTTCTACAGCGGTTTTCTTCCTCAAAACTACATGTATAACTGTAGGCTGATACTCGTCATTAACGAGAAGACACTGCATTGATTTCCAGACGATATACAAAATAACGCAGGCATTAATGAGATAAGACGAACCTCAGACCGATCTTAAGTTAAGACGAGTTCAGCCGCGTTGCTAAGGAAGTTAGGACATGTTTGAACGCGTCTTAAGTTTAGTGACATTGATCCTAGGATGAGTCGCGAGTTAAGACGAGCAAGACTTCCTAAGACATATCTCAGCGTTTCGTGAAATCGGCCCGGTTATTTGTCCCAGCCCTTATGTTATTCCATGTACATGTATCAAATCTGTTAATCAGTGAAAAACGTAATAGTCAATTTTTCAAACAGCAAATGTCATTTGTTAATAGAACAAAAAGCAGAAAGGCACAAGAAAAATTTATTGTAATTTTCTCAATCAGTTTATTTAACGATTTTTGTAAACAACAGTGAATTTTTCAATTAAAAGAATTCTCAAAAACTGACAACAGCCTTTTTCTTTTTCAGTTTTTGTTCTCCGCGGGTTGTTTTATGAGATTTTCACTTTTTTAGGTGTGTGGTGACAGTGTCCAATATTTTGCACCTTGTGTCTTTGAGGTGCAAATGTGAAGGCAATTTGACGTCAGGAAACGCTAACCTTCAAGTACAATATTTCATGGAAAGAATGTTGCATCCCGACGCCATTTTTTTTCATCATAATATCAATGAATCAGTCATTGTAAAAATGTTGAAAAAAGACATGAATCTGGGACTCACAAACATTTCCAATTTTTGTTCGAAAATACTTAGAAAATGCACTCAACTCGCCATACACTTTGTACACAACCAAAGAAGTGGCGTCTGGATACTACATTCTTTCCCATTGCACCACTACCATCAGTTCAATTGCTTCATTAAATGTACTTAAAATCTTCAGACGTGATGAAAAAAAAAATAGCCAATGGCAACTTAAAAAAATACTAAGTATAACCAATGATAATGTACAGTACCGAAAAATCATCGTCGGCACCAGACTATCATGTGACATCTAAAAGCAATAAGTAAAGATTTTGGACAACAGAGGGCGCCCATCCAAAGTATATTATAAATGAACAGTGAAACCAAAGCGCTTCAACCAGCAAGACCCTTTCGCCAAGAGGTCTACATCAATGTTACAGCTCCCAACAGCAGTTTTTCTTTTATTTTAGATATTTTGGAAGAAAATCAAATTTTTATTAAAATGCAAGGCTAACCCCTTGCAAATTAATATTTGAGGAATTTTGGCAGAAAATCAAATTTTGGCCAAATTTCCATAAAAATACAAGGCTAACCCCTTGCAAATTAATTTTTAGAGGTTTCAGATATTTTGGCAGAAAATCAACTTTTGGCCAAATGTTCATAACAATACAAGGCTCACTCATTTTTGAGAGATTTTAGATCTTTTGAAAGAAAATCAAATTTTGGCCAAGTTTTCATAGAAATGCAAGGCTAACCCCTTGCAAATTAATTTTTGAGTAATTTGAGGAATTTTGGCAGAAAATTAAATTTTGGCAAATTTTCATAAAAATGCAAGGCTAGCCCCTTGCAAATAAATGTGCGAGTGATTTGAGGTCTTTTGGAAGGAAATCAAATGGTGGCCAAATTTTCATAAAAATGCAAGGCTAACCCCTTGCAAATTAATTTTTGAGTAATTTGAGGAATTTTGGCAGAAAATTAAATTTTGGCAAAATTTCATTAAAATGCAAGGCTAACCTATTGCAAATTATATTTTTGAGTGATTTGAGGTCTTTTGGAATAAAATCACATTTTGGCCAACTTTTCATAAAAATGCAAGGCTAACCCCTTGCAAATGAAGGTTTTTTTCCATTGATTTTAGCTATTTTGGAAGAAAATCTAATTTTCATTAAAATGCAAGGCTAACCCCTTGCAAATAATTTTTTTTAGTGATTTGAGAAAATTTGGAAGAAAATAAAACTTTGGCCAAATTTTTATAAAAATGCAAGGCTAACCTCTTGCAAATTAATTTTTGAGTGATTTTAAATATTTTGAAAGAAAATCAAATTTTGGCCAAGTTTTCATAAAAATGCAAGGCTAACCCCTTGCAAATAAATTTTTGAGTAATTTGAGGAATTTTGGCCGAAAATCAGATTTTGGCCAAATTTTCCTTAAAAATGCAAGGCTTACCCCTTGCAAATTAATTCTTGAGTAATTTTAGATATTTTGATAGAATATCAAATTTTGGCCAAATTTTCATAAAAATGCAAGGCTAACCCCTTGCAAATAAATGTGCGAGTGATTTGAGGTCTTTTGGAAGGAAATCAAATTGTGGCCACATTTTCATAAATATGCAAGGCTTACCCCTTGCAAATAAATTTTGAGAGATTTTGAAAGAAAATCAAATTTTGGCCAGGTTTTAATAAAAATGCAAGGCTAACCCCTTGCAAATTTATTTTTTAATGATTCGAGGAATTTTGGAAGAAAATCAAATTTTTGCCAAATTTTCATAAAAATGCAAGGCTAACCCCTTGCAAATTAATTTTTGAGTAATTTGAGGAATTTTGGCAGAAAATTAAATTTTGGCCAAATTTTCATAAAAATGCAAGGCTAACCCCTTGCAAATTTATTTTTGAGTAATTTGAGGAATTTTGGCAGAAAATTAAATTTTGGCCAAATTTTCATAAAAATGCAAGGCTAACCCCCTTGCAAATTTTATTTAGTGATTCGAGGAATTTTGGAAGAAAATCAAATTTTGGCCAAATTTTTATAAAAATGCAAGGCTAACCCCCTTGCAAATTTTTTTTTTCAGTGATTCAAGGAATTTTGGAAGAAAATCAAATTTTGGGCAAATTTTCATAAAAATGCAAGGCTAACCCCTTGCAAATAAATGTGCGAGTGATTTGAGGTCTTTTGGAAAAAAATCAAATGGTGGCCAAATTTTAATAAAAATGCAAGGCTTACCCCTTTGCAAATTATATTTTTTGTGTGTTTTGAGTAAATTTGGAAGAAAATCAAATTTTGGCCAAATTTTAATAAAAATGCAAGGCTAACCCCTTGCAAATAAATTTTGAGAGATTTTGAAAGAAAATCAAATTTTGGCACAATTTTAATAAAAATGCAAGGCTAACCCCTTGCAAATAAATTTTGAGAGATTTTGAAAGAAAATCAAATTTTGGCCAAGTTTTCATAAAAATGCAAGGTTAACCCCTTGCAAATTTTTTTTTTAGTGATTCAAGGAATTTTGGAAGAAAATTAAATTTTGGCCAAGTTTTCATAAAAATGCAAGGCTAACCCCCTTGCAAATAAATTTTGAGTAATTTGAGGAATTTTTGGCCGAAAATCAGATTTTGGTCAAATTTTCCTTAAAAATGCAAGGCTTACCCCTTGCAAATTAATTTTTGAGTAATTTTAGATATTTTGATAGAATATCAAATTTTGGCCAAATTTTCATAAAAATGTAAAGCTAACCGCTTGCAAATAAATGTGCGAGTGATTTGAGGTCTTTTGGAAGGAAATCAAATTGTGGCCACATTTTCATAAATATGCAAGGCTTACCCCTTGCAAATAAATTTTGAGAGATTTTGAAAGAAAATCAAATTTTGGCCAAGTTTTCATAAAAATGCAAGGCTAACCCCTTGCAAATTAATTTTTGAGTAAATTGAGGAATTTTGGCAGAAAATTACATTTTGGCCAAATTTTTATAAAAATGCAAGGCTAACCCCTTGCAAATAAATGTGCGAGTGATTTGAGGTCTTTTGGAAGGAAATCAAATGGTGGCCAAATTTTCATAAAAATGCAAGGCTTACCCCTTTGCAAATTATATTTTTTGTGTGTTTTGAGTAAATTTGGAAGAAAATCAAATTTTGGCCAAATTTTAATAAAAATGCAAGGCTAACCCCTTGCAAATAAATTAAGAGAGATTTTGAAAGAAAATCAAATTTTGGCCAAGTTTTCATAAAAATGCAAGGCTAACCCCTTGCAAATTTATTTTTGAGTAATTTGAGGAATTTTGGCAGAAAATTACATTTTGGCCAAATTTTCATAAAAATGCAAGGCTAACCCCTTGCAAGCAAGGCTAAACTTGCAAATTAATTTTTGATCGAGTCAAGTTAATTTTGGAAGAAAATCAAATTTTTGCCAAATTTTAATACTAATGCAAGGTTAACCACTTGCAAATTGTTTTTAGCAAATAACTTGTACAGTTCAAATAACTTATTCACATTAGAACATTTGCTTTTCATAAAATATTTATTTTTCCACAAATTATGTTTGTCTTCAAATTTACAGTACAAAATTATACAATAATTCATATTTTGGAATAAAGAAAAATGCAAGGTTTGCAATATGATATTATTTAATTGTGCAACATAACATATTTTATTCCCATTTAATAAATCTGAAAACTAAGAATCGATTTCTAACGGTCTACTTTCCCAACAGTCATCTAAAAAAAACACCAAAAATCAGAGAGAGAGAGTAGGCTTTCAAGATTCCATGGATTTCACTTCAGACTATAATTCTTATGTCTCATTTTACTTTTCAGATTGGCCTCATAATTAATACTTTTATTAGGAGTACTGACTTATGAATACATCAGTAACTTATTAATAAAAATATAAATGACAAAATACAAGTTAACTTATAAAATGGAGTCAATGAAACAAATTCTACAAAAGTTTCTGCAAGCTTCAAAGCTAATAGCTGTACTTTCACTTTCCCAGGCATGCAACTGGGAATTTAGAGGGCAAAAAACGAGGAAACTCCAAACTATACAAGTTTTGTACAGTATTTTTCGATTGGTGATGGCATTCACGAGAAGTAAAAAACCAGCAGATATGATGAAAAGTTGCATGCCTGAATAATTAACATTTCTACAATACAAAAGACTCCTCAGAAACACTTGATGTTTTAAGTCCCCCCCCCCCCCAAATAATAAACTGATTATGACTTTCAAACACAAAGTTACACAACAATTCCGCACGTGAAACACAGCCCTAAACCGCATCCCTGCACCAAATAAAGAGAACCAATCGGCTTTCTATCTTCCTGTTCCTATCAGCTCCCATGAGTCGTTCTAAACACTTAGGTGCCTGTGGTTTCAACCGATTACTAAGAACAATTACAGAACTCTTAGCCTCAGCTGACAGTAAGTCTAAGCGGAAGACAGAGCTGTGAATAGGGTCACACGCCCGCGGCCTGATTTGTGTCGTCCCTCATCCTCACCCCCCCCCCCCTCATGTGTGTGCGTGCGGCTTAGTTCAGCTGTAATCCTCCATCGCATTAGGGAAAGTAGGTAAGGGGATTTGTGCTCTTGGCTCCCGAACATTTATTTTGTTGCGGATCTCGGAGCAAGGAGAGGCGACATCGGAAATAGTCTTGCCTTTTAAATCGGCCTGTGATTCATATTACTGGATGCAACGATGAGTCGTTTGTCAACATGAGTGAACATGTCCTGTGTGGTTTTTAGTTTTGGGACTCTACAGGGCAGCAACAGACACGACTGTCAGCATGTAGCCTTTGGGTCATTACCGTCAAAATGTATTGCCATTGTTAAGCCCAAAATTTAAGACCCTCAAGGTACAACTGTCTACAGATTGATCCAGTCCAGTGTCGCCATTTCAGATGGAGCACCACGCTCACATTCCCCAGATCACATTAATCACAATTAGCACTGTGGTAGATCCGGGGGCGTTTGGTAGCTGATGGCCCACCTGCTGCTGTTGCTACTGTGGTAGATCCGCGGGTGTTTGGTAGCTGATGGCCCACCTGCTGCTGCTGCTACTGTGTTAGATCCGCGGGTGTTTGGTAGCTGATAGCCCACCTGCTGCTGCTGTAACTGTGTTAGATACGCGGGCGTTTGGTAGCTGATGGCCCACATGCTGCTGCTGCTACTGTATTAGATCCGCGGGCGTTTGGTAGCTAGCTGATGGCCCACCTGCTGCTGCTGCTACTGTGTTAGATCCGCGGGCCTTTGATTGTCCAAACACTAAAGATTTCTTTCCAAATGGACTGTCTGCTGAAACTCAATCACAATGAACACAGTAAGCTAAAGGGACAAAACTTCACACCAGAAGAGAACAGATACTGTCAGACAGCTTGGGCAGAAAATAATATGACCAAATCTCAAATATGAGATTTTTTTTGTTTGGTATGATAACCTTGATGTTGCTCCTTTCCTCAACGCACCGGAAAAGATGTTCCTGTTCTACAGAGAAAGATGCATGGATATGTTTATTTGCATATTCCCACAAATGGTGTTGCAACATGACTTCTCAGACGTGTTGCCTAATTCTGTCGGTTGGAGTTGTGGGCGTTGGCCACAAGGGGATCCTTGAGTTACTTAGCCAACCATGGGCTTGACTTTAGGTTGGAGTTGGTCTTTGACCACTTCAGAGACCCTCATCAGTTTCCAGTCGAGGATCTTCTCCAACTGATGTCGGAGACAGAAATCCTGTTCTTGCGACTGCGCAATTGGCCAGCCCTTCAAGAGGCTTAACCATGGTGAACAACCCTGCCGTATGTACAGCTCTCCGGGTGGCTGCAGAGGCCTATTTAAATTTCTTCATCAACAGAGGCTCTCAGCAGCTTCTGTACCACCCGTTGAAGGCAGCACTCGGTACCACCATCGGGGCCTCCCCAACTCTCAGGCCACTCAACCCTGAGTTGGAAAATGTCAATCACGACAGCCTGCTGCCGGTTACCTCTAAGGTCGTGGCACACCACTCGGGCATTCACCACAGTGTTGTCGAGTGGTACTTGCAGAACTTCCGTCACTGTGAGTGTACAAGATATTTTTAAAAGCCTTTGATTGTCCACGCACTAAAGATTTCTTTCCAAATGGACTGTCTGCTGAAACTCAATCACAATGAACACAGTAAGCTAAAGGGACAAAACTTCACACCAGAAGAGAACAGATACTGTCAGACGGTTTGGGCAGAAAACAATATGACCAAATCTCAAATATGAGATTTTTTTGATGTTGCTCCTTTCCTCAACGCACTGGAAAAGATGTTCGTGTTCTACAGAGAAAGATGCATGGACATGTTTATTTGCATATTCCCACAAATGGTGTTGCAACATGACTTCTCAGACGCGGTGTCTAATTTGGAAGAGTTGGCCGACATGGCACACCATAAGTAAATGTAAATTTCAATGCCACTGCAGACTTTTTTTTAATAATGTAGTACAGTGCCACAAGCAGTATGAACATCAACTTCTACATCAAGTGGGTGCTTTTTGTCTCCATCATTTTAGCACATGAGCATTTCGACAGGCAAATGTCTTCATATGCTTATCACAACACAAACTAACAGCCACTCCAAAGCATTTGTCATCTGCCCCATTCGAGCTGGTCTCTATCCACGGGTATAAGAATATCTTGGTGGTCGAAAAGGGTTACATGACATCACTCAGAGTCATGTCCATCACAGTGGCTGTGAAACATTTCTTTCAATTTTCCTTTCCAAGGCTGCCAGCTGAATTTTGTCTCAAGGAAATTGCAAAAGGTTATTTTCCTCCGCTCCTCAATACAAGAGCCAATCAAGAGAAACTCCTGCACCACCTTCCTGGAATGAAATACTATAACCCTGCGGCCATGAAGCCAGCTGAAAGACAAAAATTCATCAAGTGCTACGAATTGCACCTCAATGACCCATTTGATTTCAACTTCAAGTAAGAAATCGTCAAGCACTGCCAGTCAGAAATGGATATTCTCGGCCGTTGTTGCCTTCATTTCAGGTCTCTCTTCATGAACATGATGGCCGATGACACTACCCCTGCCATAAACCTGTTTCAGCAGTGTATTACCATCGCCTTTGCCTTCCGCTTGGTGTACATGTCTCTTGAATAAGTGCAAGGGGATACATGTACATGCATGGGAATTGCCACTGTTGGGCTATACAGTGCACAAATGTACTTATGAGATTTCTGTCCTTCCTGTAATTTCAGTTGGTTTCTGAAGCTGAAGACAGTAACATTTTGACAATGCTGAAAATGCAAAGAACTACATGTTCGTGAAGGTACTGAAATTCTGTAAGACCTCTAGACAAGAACGATTTTTGTATCTCACCTTGAAATGTTTGTTGTCTACTCGCAGCCCTCCTAGCAAGATCCGGATCTTTCTGGAGTTTGTTCAAATGATGCAAGTACACCATACTTGTGGTGGCCGTGATGGGACCTGCCTCCTCCCCGTACTTTTGCATCATCTCACGGATCCCTTTGTTGGACAATTCAAGCAGCTCTTTGGGTAGCGGTGCCGGCGGAGAGGCGTCACAGTCCTCATCTGTTTGGTAGTCTTGCCAGTCATACAGGACAGTATCGTCAATCGTTGAAATGTGACTGTAATTTAGGCAAGATAGGTCCTGGCAGCTGCTGCTTGTACCCAGAGCTGATGGGCACTGCCGCTCAATCAGCATGGCTCCGGTGTTTTCGTCTTGGTACAGGTACTCAACCGAGTCATGTTCAGTGTCAGAGTCGGCCTCACTGCAATCTGTAAAGTGCGATTCGTGTGTTGTGGAATGATCCTCCGTTAATGGTGAAGGTGGACGACCGGATGAGAACCGCCAAGTTGCCAAAGCCTTAGTTTCTGGTCTCTCGAACGCTTCGGCGCAAACAGCGTCATGAGCTGGCTGCTTATATCCATTCAGGAGGTTGCTTGTTTTTGGTCCGTTGCAAGGAGAAAAGAGGGAACTTTCATCAGATGTCAGCAGATCACTTTCAGTATTGTCTAATGTCAGTAAGTCACTCAACTCACCAGTATGGGCTAATGACTCGTCATATTCTGTAGTGGGTTCAGTGGTTCTGCTTAGATCGTGAGAGACATGTCTCTTAAAACTTTGTTTTCTTTCAATGTCAATTTTTCAAAAAAACAAAGTTCCAACAAACGGGTCACTATAGCCAGCACGCAGCTTATAAAAGTGAAATGCATCATGGGTATCAACGAAACTGTTCCAAAATCCAGCAACGAATGTTGAGGTTCACCTTGGGAAATACCAAGTCAATGGCTAACATTTAAGAGGAACATGGAGTCAGGATTATCCGGGAGCTCCATGGATGTCTTTACGAAAGCTAACTTGTTAGCTAGCTACACATACATGTAACGCCCCATCAGGAGGTTGACCTTGGAAGAGCTATCACAAGCTTGGAGTTAATACAACTTCAAAGGCAAATGTGGCATTTTAACTTATTTTGTTTCTTATTCATTTCACATTTATAATGTCAAAATATTTACATGTGATTGCCTGTGTATATTTGTTAATTAGGATACACCAACACCCAGCGAACCACAAGAAACTCGTAGGGTTTTTACAGTAAATGTCGCATCTGGAGACACAAAGAAATTGTGCCATGATATTACCTGTAAAGTGATATCAATTCTTCTTTCGTCATTTAAGGTAGATCCAGAGGTTCATGATGAAAAGTTTCAAGCTGAGATATTTAACAGGTTTCATTAAATGTGGGAAATCTCTGCATAACTTTAATCATACATGTTGAACATGTAACCCTGACCTCAATATGGTCCGAGGTTACTGTACATACTTTGACTTCAAGTACATTAACTATTTCAGTTTTCATTGTGTTCCACTTTACATACTATTAATAAATAAACTAAGTTTTGTGCAAGCAAAGTCCTTGAATTTAAATCAGTGTATGCTTTCAGAGGGAGTCGATACTTGAAATTGGTTCCTGCTTGATGAAGGTGAACCAAGGGTTACAAACAAAAAGCTTTGGTCAAAGTCAAAAAGACATGATAGTCATCATGCATAATATGCAATCGACACCTTATTCTCAAGTTGCAGCAAATGTCTGCATGACAGAAAAAGAAGACAATGGCCCAAGGGCAGGCTTAACCCTAACCCTGCCAGATGCAGCACAGTGCATCAGGTGTCAAGTCTGTGGGATCTTGCTGATTTGAGCTACCAACACCAGTGCATATGTCGCAGAGCCAAGTTTCACTTGTAGGTTTCAATGTATTTTTAGTGTTTTTAGTATAGGTTTGCTCTAACCACAAAGACGTTTATGCTAGCCATTGACCAGAAAATTGTCAACAAGTCAATCGCATCACCTCTTCAAGCTCTCTGCCTGCTCAATGCTGCATTCTACAATTTCAACGTAGAGTACCCATGTGAAACAGAAGCTATGCTTGAGCTCATACAACAGTACGTACACTCATCCCAGAGTTGGAAAATGTCAGTCACGACAGCCTGCTGCCGTGACTGACATGCCATGGGTATTGGAGTTACCTCTAAGGCCGTGGCACACCACTTGGGAATTCACCACAGTGTTGTACGTTGGAGTTGGTCCTCGACCGCTTCGAAGACCCTCATCAGTTTCCAGTCGAGGATCTCCTCCAACTGATGTCTGAGACAGAAATCCTGATCTTGCGACCGCGCAATAGGCCAGCCCTTCAAGAGGCAAATCATCTGTTAACCATGCTGTTAACCATGCTGACCATAAGACCATGGGCTCTGCCATGAGAGGGCTGTACATTTTGAGTTCATCTTCTTCCCCTTGTTTAATCTTGTTTGGTTTCTAGCCAAAACACCCTGGAGGGTTAGGGTCAAGGCTTGGATTGGGATATCGTTATGAAGGTTATGAAGGCTGTACACATAATACAAGGAAGAAAGCAAGACGCTGAAGAGATACATGTAGACAGATTTATGTCCGTCTTAGAAGACTTACTGCGAGACTACCTTCTTCACGTGGCAGATGTCAATATTTGTTGAGGGTTAAAGACAAGCAACCTTGAGAAGCCACATTAAATGCCTCAGGATGAGGACACCAAAAAGATGAAGCAGTTTATTCTGACATCCATAAGTGAAATTCTGTACATGCCGTGTGGGGTTGCCATCTCTATCACACCAAGGTCTCTGATTGCGACTAATTTAATCCTGGCTAACTTAAAGGTCATTTAGTGAATTTACACTTTTACATTAGTTAATCAAATTCCTATTTTTTAGCTTCACAAACCTGTTGCAATTCTCAGTTCACCACTGCACATAATGCAAATTCATCTTCATGAAAATGAGGACTAGTAAATTTCAGAACCAGAAATTTTGCAGAACTGATAAGCAAACAAACGCACCTTGCTTGAAATTTTGTGGAATCTACAATAACGTACCAAAAACTGGAATACTATCAACCTTGACATGTTTGAGTGTTGCGCCGGGTATCTGTTGCAATTCTCCATTCTCCACAACGCATAAAACAAAGTTAATGTTAGGAAATGGAAACCAAACCATGAAAATGTTTGAACTGGTATGCCAAAAATACACCTGGTTTGAAAGATCTCAAGAAGATAATTAAATAACAAAAGGCACTGAATGGACCGAATTGTGGCAGCACAAAAAACATTTTTCAAATACAGAAAACACGACCTCACAGAGGTACGTGAATAGTCAATGAGCATTTCATTTTGTTCTGTGCAAACTTTTGCAAACAAGTGCATGTAGGCAATGCAGATGATTTTTGCCTGGACATTTTTAAACCGTCATACTCACAGAAAACACGCATAGTTGTCCACAGAAAACACGCTTACGTTGTCGCTTACGTTGTCTTTTACGTTGTACTTGCCCGTTGCATTTAGAGTACATTATCCGAAATCATTCTGTGTGATGTTATTATGTTCTACAAATATTCTCATGAATTCAAAATGTCTGCACTCAGGATGGCCTCAAAGTATCTCCATGTGGGGGAACGAGAAGCTACCGTAGCGCTCTAGTATTTTAATATAGCTCTATGCATACACCCTGGAGTGCAACCCTCGCAATTTAGTCCAGAACTCTCATAGATTTAGCTTTGACTGCTGGTCCATGCTGTCTTGATAGGGCTGGAGGGCAGGATGCACCTCTTCACTTAGAAATCGCGTCACCTGAAAAGTTAAAACAAAAAGATAAACAAATGAAAATAACAAACTGTTTGTATTCAGCTGCCAAGTGTACACAAGTTAATGGGTTGAGCATATGTTGAGTGAATATCCTTCAAAGTTACCAAACATCAGAGGGTCTCCAAGACCTGGTCACCTCTGAAAGTATCTGAGGAGGGTATCGTCTTGAAATTTTTAGGAGAGACCCCAGGCAGCTTATTGTTTGAAACAAAAACGTGCGACTCACAGTTAGAAACTTTGTTAACTCAACATTGGAAAAGCCAAGATCAGATCACGCTATTCCTTCATTCGTATTGTGAGCCCCAGGAATTTTAGCAAGCAATGCTCTAGGGCTAACAATATAGACAAAGTCCAGTATTTGAGACGCATTTGAGAGGGCTATGCAACAAAGATCCAACTGTATCAAACCCTCATTCTCTCTCTCTATTGATGTACGGGTCTGAAACTTGGACCCTAAATAGGGAAGATGAGAACAGAATCCTAGTATTCAAAATGTCATGTTTAAGGAAATAATCAGCGTCAGCAGACAAGACAAAATCAGAAACACCACCATCAGCAAATCTCTGGGATTAAAACAAGACGTCGCAGAACGCACAACTCAAAAGCGTCTTTGCTATGAGAATGGACACTCGAAGTCGTCCATAACACTCGATGGCACTGTACAAGGAGACAGGCAAAGAGGAAAGCCAGCAAAACAGTGGTTAGATGGCATAAGGACAGATATCAAGAACTTGAACTTGACATCACTGTCAGAAGCAAGAACAGCCAAAATAAGAGAAAAATTGAAAGAAGTTATGCAGAGGATGGCATAACTCAACCTGGTCTGAGCAGACGTCATAAATAAAGTAAGTATGCCGGTACCTGTTCAGGAGCACGTCCAATGAACGTCGCAGGGTCCAGGAGCTCATTCAGCTTGCCATGGATGGGAGCAAAGTAGTCAGTTTGGCATATTCTCTCCACCAGGTCATTATCACCTCCTTGCTGCTTGACCACAGCTCCTGCCTCCTGGGCTAAGGTGCGGATGTGCTCATGACATTCCTGTCATTGAGAATATGTAGGCATTAGTGAGAAGCAGCGAGAGAGAAATTCAAACATCTGCATTCCCCAACTAGGAGATTTCATAATCTTACATTTACTGCTTGCTACATACAGCGGGTTAAATTTCTGTCAGACATTATTTGAAACAATATCGCCGATATCACAATTATATCACAATATTTTGATTTATCAAAACTTAACCGATTCCAATATTATTTTTCAAAAATGAACTTTGTATTTATGGCAAATTTATCATATCTAGCGCTATTTATGTCTGTCTTAACAAATTTTGTACCGCAATTTTATTCTAAATTACTGATGGAATTGGGCACTCGGCTCATGACAACTCAAAATTGATTATGATAGGTTCATTTTGTCAGAGTACATTTGGGGTCTATTTTCACCCTCAGACTTCCATGGGCATCACTAGAGGGGGTGGGGTGTGCACGTGACACAATCATTTAGTACGTTTTGTTTGCAAGAATGTTGTTTAGTACATTTCAGTTGGAATGTTTTAACCAGTTCACGCCAGGATTATTTTGACAAGAACGGAACGAGGCGCGGGATTACGTATCACTGGACCTCAAGCCACGAGGGTTGAAGCCATCACCCTCAGGCAGCATACTAACATTTCTAGCCTCGCTCGCTGTGAGCGGGTCACTGACAGGTATTTCCAGCATCGCTTCCAGCGTTTTTATCTGTCATTTGTTCTGAATACTGTAAAACTTTTGCATGTATACACAGCCTCCGGCGCGAACTGGTTAAGGAGGGGAACGGGTAATTTTAGGAGTGGTAATGTTGGCTATAACATACAGTACCTGTCTGTTTCCCCCAGCCTTGACCATGGCCATGATGATGTTCTCCGATGCCATGAAAGGTAGCTCCTGCTTCACATGCTTCTCAATCACCTACAACACGGGAAATGGATGACACAAGGGGAAACTAAATTACGATGCTTCAAATGTACCCTTGTTATGTTGGCCTGCCACTGTACACAGAATATGGCTCGTTCCATTCAAATATCCACAATTAAGATGAAGTGCTTGGTCAAATATGACGTTCCTCATCAGGCAACACTTCAACAAAGCCATGCTGTAATACAGTACTTTTCGAGAAGATGCTTTAATATAATAATACATAATATTTTGGATATGATGTTCGGCCAGATTACACATTATTTTTGTGTGCACGTTTAATACATAATGAATTGAATATTACTGACGGATACAATTATATCTATATCTCTGAATTTGTCCACAAAATCACAAAGATGTAATGATCAACCTGTACACATTTTCTATTAAATAAGTCACTCAATGGTAATTGACCAAACAATGCAATCTCTTTGGCGTTTTTCCGAAAACTTATTGATACAATAATACAATACCACAAACTATCAACGCTTTTATTGCTACACGTTGAATACATGGGGGAAAAAATAAATAATTTTAAGAAAAGTTTTATAATCTACTTGCCTTTGGATAGACAACCAGTCCTTCGGATATATTCTGCAATGTACTCAGGCAGGTGTCAGCAGTCAGGAAAGCCTCAGCTATACATATACGCCTGCAAAACACAAGAGCAGTGAGGGGTGTTACACGTAGATCGTGACAAAGATCCACATGTAAGCGAGGACAGGATATGAGCCGACATGAACTAAACTGTATGTGGTATTCTGAACCAGTCAGGCACACGTCAGCACTCAGAGAGCGCAAACCTCCGCCAAGGTGTATCAATTACCCGCCATATCATCAGCACACCCAAAAGAAATACTTGTATAAATGGTGAAGAATCCTTTAAAAAAATCCTGGATCCAAACCCAGATCCCTTCCAAGATCTAATCTATTTATACTTGTACCAAGGACCACCACTAACAAATTGTTTCTTGCAAATCCATTAGAAACATTAGATTGTAAGTGCGCAGGTTTTCAAACCCATTTGTAGGCCATAGGACAAAGTAAAGAAAGGTTTTGTTTGCTTTATTGGTGGTGGTTGCTAGGACAGGCCAAGTTGAGGCTCTGTTGACCCTACAGATAGACGTTCGAATCTGTCCATTGCATCTGTTGACTCTGCAACAGCTGGACAATCGACTATGTTCCCTGCTCCAGCTAGACCTTTGACTCTGTCCTCTTGTGCTTTATCAATGATGGCCCAGTCACATTGTGCACTGATGCTACACAGGGCACCTATGACGTAGCACTGCCATCTGGGAAAATTTTGATGCTCGGGCAGAGACCCATTGTGAGTGGTACTGGTAGTGCAGAGAAAATTTCCCCCCACAGTAGTGTGGTGGGAGTCTACAAGCGACACTTACCTGTAGAGCCACTGCATTATGTAGTGGCTCTACATGTAATTGAGTGAAGTAGACTGTTGGACACCGGTTGTTTGAAGGAGATAGTGAGTGATATTGTGAGAGTAAGTGGTGGTGGAGTCAAGAAATGGACAAGATCGTTGTTGCAAATTGTTGGAAATACTGAGTTTCTTTACGTCAAAAAGTTCTGCATGGTTTTTCATGCTAGGCTCAAAAAGTAAAATATCCATTGACCTGAAACTTCAACAGGTTAGGTTTTGAATACTGTTCTTGAGAGAGTTCATGAGAAGCAAGTGACCCTATTTGAATTTGTAGGTTCAAGAAGGTGCAGAGGAAGACTGTGTAGTGTAAGGTGAAGAGAAGGAAACAGATCAAGAAGACAAGGAAGAACAGAAGGGTGAGGGAATGCAAGGAAAAGAATTCACAATGTGATACATTTATTTTGATGCTGCATAAGGATGATACATAATACATAATGTTGTACATGTATATTCAAATTGACAATACATACTAGATATATTTACAATAGTGAACATTAACTAAATGGCAACATCTAGGTCCAGGGTGAAGCATCAGCTTTTGTTCCCCAGCCTATGGACAGACAGACAAGTGACAGACATACATGGAAAGACAGAGCACAGACAAATTGGCAAATGTTATACAATTAGACTTGAAATAGACTTATTCAATACTTTATTGCCATGGGAAAGCATTTTTTGTTGTAGGAGAGGAAAGATAAATGGAAGAGATGGACGTGGGGAGCCACTAGCGGCCCAAATGTCGAGCCATGCAAGGAGCATGTCTTCCCCAGGAATGAAGCTAGTCTATTCCTTCATCCAAATTTATGGATGACCTGGCAGTGGGCATGGAATGTGATGTAGAGAAAAGTATGTATGGCAAAGAAGATAAATATTCCTATATAAATACTGTTTCCTTTCAGAAAAAGAAGATGGTCTTGGAGCTGGAGAGGATGGGGTGCAGGAAGGAAAGATAAGGATGGGGAGAAGAGGAAGACAGCCTTGAAGGTGGAGAGGGCAGGGTTCAGGGTGAAGAGAAGGAAAAAAGATCAAGAAGACAAAAAGATCAAGAAGACAAGGAAGATGAGTGAAAGTTGAAATTGAGGACAGAAGGAAGGACTGCTTCCACAAGAAGGTACACGTAACTTTAAGAGACAGTTCATCGAAGACCTCCATTAGAGAATGCAACGTACTGTTTACTTGAATTTGTAATCATTAACAAATTTAATTTTAGAAACATTTTAATCCTTGAATTGTGTATCAAGGCATTCCACGTTCGACCCTAGACAAAGAAATGCACCATCATAGACAGAGCTTTTAACTGAAGCATTCAGTTTAAAATCTAGTCCTGCAAAACCAAAATGACATGATTTTTGGATACGAAATCGAGTGGTATTGTGCTGGTCAGAATCGACTTGAAAAATTATACTTGTACAGATTTTCAATAGTTTTTCCAATTCCAGTACAGACTTCTTAATTTGATGCCTATCCGTTAGTATTCTTTGTGGTATTACTCTTTCAAATTTCAATATAGGGAATATATGTAATAATGTTAATTTGCATACTTGTGTTAAATTTAACAAAAATAGAGATGGCTACTTTTCAGTCCCATTAAACTACTTGAGATCCTTTTTGATGCAAGAGGCTAGCTATACCCTTTGTGTGAAATCTACAAAAGATAAACTCTCCCCTCCCCTCCCCTCCCCAACACCAATATTACATGAAATGAAATCTTTGCTTAAAGAGACACCAGTACAGTGTTACATGTATCTGGTATCAAGAACGACTGGCTTCTTTCCCTTATTGAAATTCTAATAGCCCGTTTCCCCCAAAGATGATCTGATGACTGTTGAAACAGTCAATGGCAAAAGCTAGTTTGGAATTCGCCCTCTGTACGGTACCTGAAGCACTCCATGACTCTGATGTGCTCAGATGTACTGTACCGGTACATATTAAGTCAAAAGTCCCCCATCAAATACACATTTGTGTAGCTGAAGGTTCCCAGGACAATTTAAGGTAACAATTCTGGTCTAAACTGTGATCTTGTAAAAAAAAAAAGGCAATACATTTTTTGAGCAAATTTGCAGCTTCTGTGCAGCATAACATTCAGCACCCTGGATTCTAGGTTTATGTAGGCCTACAGTCGAGTCTCGTCGAGGAACACCAGCCCCATTCATTGTGTACATACATGCACAGTGGGGACCAAGGCCTTATGTTTATAACCAGAATTTTGTATTAACAGAGTTTGTACTAACGAGAGTCGACTGTACATCCTCAGGAGTCAAGGTCCACAGCCGTTTCTAGTGCTAAATGTACGTTTGCGGTAGATTCCATTTTGATGAGGCCAGCTTTGTGAAACATTCTCTGATTACGTGTCAACCAAATGAATTAAGCTGATGTCTGCTGGTGGTGATAGTGCCCATTACCTTGGGTGCTTCTTGTGCCAATACTTGGAGAATTTCCCCTGTCCTTATCGGCATTGTTGATAATGTGAACTTTGGAAAGCACATCTGTGCTAGCTACTACCTTCGTTTGGTTTTAAGCAGGCTTCATTGTTCTGCTCTCATATCTAGGAGATACTTGGTTATTTGTTTCCTGTTGCGGTGCATATTGGCAGAGCTGTCCAAACTAACTCTTGCTCCATCACAGTCTCTTGATGAAGATCAACAACCAAGGGAATAACCCACAATAATGGCAGACAGGGGATCATCGTATCTCCTCCAGTAGCTGTTCAGACACAAGCTGAATGGGCTTGGGAGAGACAGTGCTGTGTCCCCACACAAGGCGGGTATTGATTTGCAAGCACTCTTGCCTCAGAGCCCAGTTGCATCGTAACGTCCAAGGGAATGCTTCCTTGCAAGCTGGATGGTGGCTTTCCAGGAATGAGATAAGGCCTCCTTTGGCACCATGCAAAACATCCAAGTACCGGGTAAGAGGTTCTCTGACGACTTCCGAGTTGAGACACCTATCCTGGAATACACAGGTACTTGTGTGCATTGCTGAGACCACTGGGCAAGTATTGATTTGCAAGCATCCAACGTGGCCTCTAAGCCCATGGTTATGTCCGGGAGAATGATTCCATCCAAGTTGGTTGATGGCCTTCCCAAGAATCATCAGGCACATCAAAGAGATAGGCCTAAAGGTTTCTCTGGAGTCACCCAGGAAATGTCCACTCATTCGCAGTAGCTCAATGCAGTTGTCTTTATTCTTAAGTGCAGTAGTGCTAATGAATGTACATTCTGAACCAGAATTTTGATCGACTTCTCAGAATCGGACTTGAGCTGGAGTCACTGCAATGCAGTACATTATTACCAGAGGCTCAGTCCCATACATTTCATAATGCTTAGCTTCTCTTTGACTCAGAGAAAGCTTCTCTTACATTTAAACATTGCTTTCATCAGCATTTATCCAGTTTTACTTCCAAGCTGGTCTCAAAATTTATTGTCTGTAACTTTAACCCCTTCTGATTGTAAGCAGAGTTCTCCAAAATCAGATCTTTTGAGAATTACATAGAAGGCTCATTCTTTATATTTCAATACAAATGGGATACTGGGATTGAAATGAGTAGCCTGTTTGTGCATTCAAAAATACCGTCTAAAATGGCCGCTCCGCATTACATGTATGGTATCCTCAACAGTGCTTTCAATGTTCTTTGACATTATTGTACTCCATAATTCAAAACCCCTCCCTATCTAAAAAAAATGGCTTTTCATTGTATGAACATGTTCTCTTTACGTAAGCAAACGTTTCCATTCAGTCTAAAAATCAAATAATCTTTTTATGATTAGGACTTCTACCAACAAACTATAGCTTCATCAAGACCTGTACAGTATTTCGTTCTTAGTTCTCGACAAGGTTTTGTGTTAAAGGGAATATACATCATTTGCTTTTGCTGTAATTTTCAGAAATGGATGGAATTGGGGAGTTGGAAATATATAGCAAATATAGTTACACTGACTTTTTGGAGGTTTTGGGTTCGAAAATGCTACAAAAACCAAGAAAAACAATCATTTTCCTGTAGTCTGGTTCCCTGACTCCATATCAGAAGAAACAGAGCAGTTTACATACATTGGGGAATTGTAAGGTCAGGGAACCAGTCTAGCTGGCTTGTACCCATTCATAGGTGTGTAATCGATTGCAAACAAGTGCGATGGTCAATCGGGGCCAGTTTTTGAAAAAAAGCCAGTTTTTTTCAACGCTGGTCGGCCGACCAGCGTTGGAAATTGATACAAAAATACCACTTTTCTTGAAAATGACAGTATA